CCCGTGGACACCAGCTGCTGGTTTTGATGGCTGTATTGCTGCTGCTGGTTGTTGTTATTGTTGTTGTTATTACAAGCCCACAGGCGATGCTGCCTGTGTGGCTGGGGCTGCTGACTAGCTCCCTGCTCCGGTTGTGGATGTGGCTGCTGGGTTCGCTGCTGCTGCGGCTGCGGCTGCTGCTGGGGGGTGTTCCGATGCCCGGAGGCACCTGGTAGTTGTTGTGAGGAAGGAGCTGAAGGCGAGTGGGGGGGCTGCAGGCCCGAGGGCGACATTAGCGAGTAGTCCCCCCGGATATAGGCATTCACGTCAGTGCCGTTGCCGCCGGAGCCGCCGTCCTGCGCGTCTGCTGCCGGGCCCCCCACGTCCGCGCCTTCCCCATCCACTCCACCTCGCTGCTGCAGCAGCAGCCCTTGCGGCGGCATCTGCAGGTGCAGATGCTCCTGCTGTTCCTGTTGTTGTTGAAGCCGCTGGTGCTGCTGCTGCTGCCGCCGCTGGTGCTGCTGGTGCTGCTGGTGCTCGGCGTTGAGCTGTAGCCGCGCCAGCTGCTCCAACGCGGCTCCCTGCTGTAGCGCTGCCGCCGCCGTCGCGGGTGCCAGCAGGGGCACCATCGCCTCTAAATTGGGTCCTTGGAGCACCTCCTGCAGGCTGTTGAGTCCCGACCCCGTCGTGCCGCTCAGACCGGGGCCTGGCTGGTGCTGCAAGTACTGCAACTGACCAAGCTGATACGCCCCGTCCCCGGAGGTGGCGGCGCCGAAGTCGTCTGCCCAGCTGCCGGAGGCGCCACCGGCGGCAGCTCTGGCTGCGGCGGTAGCCACGGCGGCAGTGCCAGCGTCGGCGTCTAGAGCCTCCGGACGCTGCGGCGCGGTCGGCCGAAGGCGCTCCTTCTTGTGCGGCTTGAGGCGGGCCCCGTTTGGCGGCTGTGCAGCGGGCTGTTGGGGCCGCTCCCGACCGTTGGCTGCAGGGGGGTGGAGACCAAAGCCACCTGAGCCACCGTCGCCGGCTTCAGCTGCTTCGTCCCTGGCGTTGTTCCCCCGCGCATGGTGCGACAAGTGGGGGCTGAGGTCGCGGGTGGGGCCGAGCTCCCCATCCAGATCCGCGGCGGTGCGCCGGGTTCGATGGGTGCGTGTATGCCCCTCTCCTTCCTGCTCCTGGACCAGCCCTTGGAAGCCCTGGTGCTGCCGCGTCTGCGAGGATTCACGTGTCGTACGGTGCCCTGGAGGGTGTTGCTCCTGCTCCTGCTGCTGCTGGAGATGCTGCGTTTGTTGCTGATGCCTGTGGTGGTGATGATAATGGTGATGGTGATGGAGGCGGCGGTGCGTGCGGTGTAGCTCCTTCTCACTCGTGGTCACATCGAACAGCGCGCCATCTGGGCCCTGCATGTGTATCTTAAACCGGGTCGTCCGACTAGCGCCATGTGGCTGCCCGTGTCGCTGTCCGCCCGCCAGGACCTCCGGCTCCTCCGCCTCCTCCCGCTCAACAGCGTAACGCCGGTGATGCTCCTGTTGGCGTTGCTGTAGCCGGTAGCCGGTCCGCGGCTCGCGGTCCCCAGCGTGGGGCCTCTCCAACCGCTGGCGCATTGCCAAGCAGTCCTTCCCAGTAAGCAGATCACCTTCCACGTCACCGCTTGCTGCCGTCGCTGCGTGCTCGGGTCCCTCCACATGCGGGGAGGACTCGCCTGCAGGGCGCGGCGGAAGGGCGGCACCGGCACCGGCACCAGCAAGCGACCCGCGCTGGCGCTGGAAATGGGGCGTAATGTCGGCCGCTGGGTTCCCATGATGCTGCTGCCGGCCGCCGCCTCGTGCCAGCAATTGCAGCGCCGGGCGGCCATCCTCAATATCCTGGTACGTGTCCACGCCCCCGGCAGCGCAGCCGCTCGCGCCTGAGGACTTGTCACAGGAGGGTGCCGCCGCTACGGGCTCACCGCCACCGCCACCGCCTGCAGCGCTGTCGCTGCACACCCCGCCAGGGTCGGACCTTGAGGTGCGGTCCCGGCCCTGGCCCCGGCCGCTGCTTCTACGCTCTCTTGCCCGCTCCCTGCCTCGCCCTTCCTCCACCTCTTCCTCCTCCAGCTCCATGTGCTGCCGGTTCAGGATGAGTTCCGACTCAGCTGCAAAGCCAGGCCTGGGCACTGCTGCAGCAGCCCCAGCCGGCGCCGAGAACCTCGCCACGGCCTGCTGCTGCTGCTGCTGCTGCTGCAAGGCTGGATTTGGAGATGGGCACTGCTCGGCAGCCGGCGGCGGCCTTGATGCAGGTGAGGGATCAGAAGGGGTCCCCTGCAACGCTACTGCGTCTGCGTCAGCATCCAACCCACGCGGCACCTCCACCCACAGGCGTTGCTGCGGCTGTAACAGCTGCTGGTACGCCGGTGAGAGGGTCTCGGTGCCTTCTGTGCTGGGTTGGAGCTGCTGCTGCTGCTGCTTGGAAGGTAGAGGCAGCTGTCCTCGGACCGACCCCTGGGCTAGGCGCGAAGCGACGGTCAGCTGCAGCTGTTGCTGATGCGGCTGTCCTACAGGTGCTGTGGACCGCAAGACAGGGGGCGGTCCACCAGCGGCAGCCTGCTGTTGCATCAGCAGTAGCTGCTGCTGTAAGAGCCCCGCCAGACCGCCAGCCGCGTCCTGGTCTCGTTGCGGTTGTTGTTGCTGCAGCTGCTGGGAAGTGTCCGAGCCGAACCGTGACAGAGCAGCCACAGTCGAAGCGTCCAAACCCCCGGCATTGCCGCCTATGGCCGCGACGGCGACCGCGGCCCTAAGGCCCTCCGCCGCTGCTGCAGCCTGTTGCGCGGTTTCGAAGCTGAAGGCGGCGTTCTGGTGATGCTGCTGTTGTTGGTCAACGAACGTTGCGGCTCCTGCCAGCAGCCGACCTAGCGCTGCCGTGTCACGGGCCGCCTGGGCTTGCTCCTGCTGCTGCTGCTGCTGCTGCTGCTCGTCCCAGATTACCGCCATGCTGCCATGCCGCATGAGGTTCTGTGCGGCTTGGCCCACAGGAAAGCTGAGCGCAGCCGCGCTGCCGGGCACAGACCCCTCCCACAGCACCTGCTGCGGCTGCTCCACACCCTGGCCGCCTGCCCCCAAGCTCATGGTCCCCGCTAGTGAGATAGACGCTGGCGGGCCAAGACTCGCAAGCCGCATCAGACTATTGCTGTTGCTGTTGATACCCAGGCCGGCGCTGCCGCTGCCCGTGGCACCAGCAGCAGCAGCAGCTGCTGCTGCGGCCGCAGCCGCCGCAAACCTCGGCGATATGTGCTGTGGGCTCTGGTTGGGCTCCGAAACCGCGGGCTGCTGCTGCTGGCTGCTGCCCGGCGTGCCCGTGAACTGCCCCGTGGTCGTCTCCTCACCACGCGTGTGCGTGTGCGTGTGTGTATGGGTCTGTACGTCGCTGCCCGCGAGGCCCCCTAGCCCCGAAGGAGCACCCTGGTCCAGCGAGAAAGGCGACGTGCGCTGCAACATCGTTGCAGTGAACTGCTGCGACTGTGAATGTGGGTGGGCGCGTGAGACGAGGCGACCAACACCGCCGCCGCCACCGCCGCGGCCGCGGCCGCTGCTGGACGCTGCAAGTACGTGCATCAGCGACTGCTGCGGCGGCAACGCCCATAGCGGTGGGCTCTGATCCGATGTCGTGGCAGCGCTGGCGGAGGCCACCAGAGGCGGCGGAATGAGCTCCGCTAGGGGATGTACGAGGAAGGGCAGGAAGCCCGCTGCCGCTTTCTCCTGGATGCGCTGCTGAATGGCCTCACCAGCGGCGGAAATGACGGCAGTCGCCGCTGCTGCTGCTGCAGCGGCTGCAGCTGCTGCCACAGCCTCCACGGTCTGCCGATCCGGCGATGAGTCCGCCTGCTGCGCCCCCAGGGTGCCTAGACACAGGCCCCCAGGCGCGTCAGCAACACGCACCTGCGCCTGCGCCCACTGCGCCATGTTGAAAGCGATGTTGCGCGCGATGCTGTCTGCAAGGGAGGACCCCAGGAGCTGTCCCTGCTGAGGAGCCGGCGCCGGCGCCGGTGCCGGTGCAAGGGCTGGCGCTGGGGCTGGGGCTGGGGCTACCGTGAGCCCCGCGCTAGGGGCCCCTGATCCCCCCGGGGGCTGTGGGAAGGCCGATTGCAACTGAGCGGCAGGACCCAAACCGGGGAAGCCCAGGAGGTTGGGCAGCACTAGCTGCTGCTGCTGTTGCTGCTGCTGTTGCGGCGCTGTTGGCTGGGTGGCGGGAGTCTGGGTTGATACCGGAGGGACAGCCAGGGGAGCTGCGGCAGCGGCTGCGGCGGCTGCGGCCATGGAGACAGGAAGCTGCGGGGCTTGCAGTCCCAGGCCGAGACCCAATCCCAAGCCTGAGGAACCCGGAGATGCCGCTGCTGCTGCTGCTGGTGATGAGGCCACACGGAAGGAGGGCGGAGCCTGGGGTGCATAGGACTTGACGCCGGGGCCCTGCTGCGGCGACTGCTGTTGAAGTTGATGCTGTTGCAGCTGTTGCTGTGTCAGTTGCATGGGCTGCTGCTGATGAGCGGCGGCTTGGGCTGGCAGGCTGAGTGGCTGCAGCTGCAGCTGCTGGAGGTCCGCGGCGAGGGGCGCATCATCATCGTACGTATTGGCGCCATTGGCGGAGCCCAGGAGCGGACCGTAGCCACCGTCGGAACCTGCAGCTCGCGGGATGTGGGTTGGGGGCATACCGTTACGAAGGCAGAGTGCCCCGCAGGCCATTTTTCAGTCAATGCAGCTTTTGGTACCTTCATCCAATTCAGTCGGTTTCCAGGAATAACAAGGCGCGAGAGGGAAACAGCAGGTCTCACCTGCATTATCCTCGAACTTGAGGGTGGGCAAGGTATCGGCAGCGGCACCAGCGCGCTGCTGTGCAGGCATGCTTTTGCGCTTGGGTCTAGGCGGCGGTACCTCAATAGCCTCTGCACTGCCGCCGGCTGGATAATTTCGGGACAGAAGGTTGTATTAGGAGAGTGTGAAGGGGCCGTAAACGCCCACGCTGCGGTTGGGGCGCTGCAAGTTGGAAACCTCACCTTTCTCAATCTTGTTGAAGTATTTTTGTGCATGAGAACGAATCTGCACAGCTGTCTTAGTTCCGACATGTTCTGCGTGGTGGCACCGGAAGTCGTTGTTTGTGAATCCATCCCATTATTGTGAGGTGCAGCTCATACATGTCTGACGCGCTGCCACACTTGGCCCCCGGACTAATCCCGCTATCAAACGCGCCCTTTTGCGCTGCTTGCGGTAAGTCCTTACCCTCAATCTTGCGCCATTGGCGGCCATACAGCTTGAGCGCCTGCATCCATGATCAAAGACTTAGCCACAGACTTTAAATAAATACTTCTCTGACATATACAGCGCATAGACTGTCACAAAATGCTGCAGTGAGCCCACCTCGATAAAGCGCGCATGCTCATCCTCCTGCCAGCGCTCCCGTCGCTTGACAATTGTATATTGCTTGCGGGTCTGCAATGCATGTAGAGCACGTGACCGCTCTGATCGGGGTTGTTATGCTTCCGAGAGGCGCTGTACCTTCTGCGGGGCCTCGGCAGCACCCTGTGCTGGTATAACCTCCGCCTGCTGCAAAGGCTGCGGAGATGATGGCCTTTCTGGACCCGATGGCCCTAGGAGAGGTTGGGCCATTAAGGCGGGTGCTCAAGAGGTCTAAGCATTTGCCTGAAGAAGGCCTTCTCAGAGCCGGAGACACTTAAGAGGGATATTGGGTAAAAAATTAACTTAGGATTGACAAGAGTTGTATAGCAATAGGTCGAGTCTTGGGCTTGGTAATGCGTTTGGTCGACCGTCTGTGAGACACAAACACCGTATCAGGATTGCAGGACAGTGTGAAATTTCAACCAACATGACAACTGCATTAGCATTCTTCACGCCAACGCTACGTGAACTACCAGAGCTCATTACTGTGATTCGCAACTGTCGCCACAAAGACGCCCCGCATGACCGTTAAGTCCGGTTGGATATGGGCCGAGAGAGGTCAGATTCGCCGAGCTGGAAACTCTGTGGCATGTAAACACTGCATGCTTAATAATCATACGGCTCACCTTAAAAGGTCTCTATCATAGTGAAACAAAGCCAGTTGTTTTTAATTCAAGGTGCCTGTCGCAAAGTTGTTACGAAGATAGTTGCAAGGGCAGGATTCCCCGTCACACATGTCCCGTGCATTATGGGGAAGCGAGGTAATGAACGGTAGATGCGGCGTGGAATTTGCTGTGAATCGGAACTGACTACCTGGTGCGGCAACCTACTGACGTCCTTTCCACTTCGCAGATCCAGACCCATCGCTCTGTATCCCCCGCCCCGCTGACATCCGTTTGGCTGCCTCTATTACTTCCCTGAAGGTATTGTCCGCCCCTTCATTTGGCTGCATCGGCCTAGCACCCTGCCAGCAGCTGAGGACTCGCCGTCCTGCCTAGCTTGGCCTCTGGTGTTGCTGCACTAGCCTGCCCTCAGGTCACAGAGCATGATACACCTGTGCTTTTAACGTGCGCGTGTCAGTATTCACGATAGCTGCTACATGGATACGTACACCCGGATACGGCCGAGGGTCTAGCAAGCTTGCGTGCACGAAAGCCCGTTGACCCGTTTACACGGGCCAACGGAGCTAGCTACTCCCGAGGTGCTCGCGTCCTCGGGGTTTTTAGCCAGTGCCACTGAGCTTACCAGGGCACATGCTCGACAGCACGCCGGCATGGGCGCCTGAGAAAGCCGATACAGGAAATCATTGGCAGCTAAAAGAATCTTAGCGATGACAGGAGGTCCCCGCATTAGTGGCCATCGCCGTCGTAGCTGCAGCCGCGCTTTTGCTCCCCTTGAGTCCGAGAGTGGCAGCAGCTTTTGGACCCCAACGCCAACCCCTCGCAGTTGCCGCGTTGCCGCCCCTGTCTGTGCCGCCCCTTGCTGAGGCGCTGCCGCGGACTTCCAGGACGAACCTGGTGGGAGATAGAGTGGTCAACCGCTGTGCACGTTTGGGATGTAACATGTACGGCCCGATGACGCTGCAGCTGCGCGTTTGGTTGAACCAGAGGGATTGAAAACTGACCCGATAGGCTGTTGTCCGGTGCCCTGGGCCTTTAGGGTTTGGGAGGCCTAGAACGTTTGGATACGGGTGCGACGCCCCTGCTTCTCCGCGCACAGTCAACGCCTGGCCTTTTTCGTTGCGAGGAGGGGGGGAGTGGAATGGTTCGTGGGTTAATTTGCGGTTTTACTTGGGCTGTTGTCGGGCGCGTTTTGGGGAGGTGGACGGGCAGCAGTGCTCAATTTTTCATTATTATATTCATGCGTTAGAATGGCTTTTCGTTCGTATTTCGGACGTTGTGCCGCGATCCTGTTGTGTGGCTGGTTCGTGTATGTCTGTGGAAGGCTGTGACGTTGCCTGCTTTCTGTTTCGGCCTGTCTTCCTCTTGCTGCCCCTGGTCCTGTTTCTTTAATTCCTGCATTTCCCTGGTCGTCCCCTTTGACCTATCCTAAGACACTGCGGCCAGCCGCTTTCTGTCTTCTCTGTTGGTGGAGCCCTGTTGTGGTGTTGCCTGTCTGTATCCTTTGTGGTACTTCGGCTAGGGTGCTGCAAGTGGCGGGTGGCTCTCCGTTACGGCTTGTGTCCCCTGTCCTTGGAACCATCCTCCTCGGAAGAAATGAAACGCAGTGGAACTGCTGTTGACCAACGCCACCGCTCTTCATAGCGCACTTCTTTCCTGTGACAAACATGCCACGGAACTGAACTGGGACGAAAAGAAACCGCGCGCGACACCTCGTATCCACGTTGCGTGCTCCAATTCCATCAACAGCATTGCACGAAGTAAAACGCTACGCACCATTACAAGACGTAAGCCTGACTGCCTGCGTAGCCGCTCCCGCCCTTTTCATGTTCCTCCGCCGCCGCCGACCCGTCAGCTACCGGCCTGTCTCATGAACTCCAACCATTCGGAACCCCGCCGCAAGCGACCTCTGCACCCGACCGCCAGGCAGAGACGCAACTGGGTCACCAACTGGTTTTAGTCAGTAGGACCAAACCTCCAAACAAGCGCCTCCATTTCACGTGCAGCCACAGCCGCCGCAACAACAGCCGCACCCATAGCCACGGACCTAGCGCAGAAGCCCCCTGCCTAAAATTTGAATGTGTCGGATCCCTTAGCTTTCTTTGCGGCCTTGGAGTCCTGTGCCGCCTGCTGCTTGCGCTTTTGTTGCGCCGCCTTAGCAGCGACCAAGTCGCTGAAGTCCTCGCGCCGGTTCGCAGCCCGCAGCTCGGCCACCTTGGCATCATATAGAGCCTTCACCTGGGCCTATGGGGCCGATGGCAGACAACGGATTTCGGTTAGCCACGGTTTCGGAGTAGCCACGTGAAAGGCAAGGCGGCCGTATGCAACAACGCGGTAGCAGCAATGGCTGCCAATTATGGCAACTTTAGGTTCAAAACCCTGCATGTTCATCTACGCTTAGGTCCTTTAAGAATGGGAAAAATAAACGAATAGCAAAGTTCACGATTAGGAGGAGCACGTGGACAGCTGTTACCAGAAAAACACAAACAGGTTTAAGCATTATCATTTCACAAACAAGTCCATACTCGCATTTCCCCTTTTCTCTTGATTTCATCAGTCCAAATACTACTTCAATAGCTTTAGCTACCGCTAAACCGCAATCAGAATCCTCTGATGCTCTTTTGACAACCTCCGGGCCGCTCATCTCTTCCCCTCCGTCCCTGCCCCTTCCCTGCAAGCCTCCCCGCCACGACGTACCTCGTCCAATCCCTCCAGCTCCTCGGGACTGATGGTCACCTCCACATCCGCGCCAATGTGCTTGAGGAACTCCGGCCTAAGAAAGGGTGCACAGGCGACCGCGCGAATAGCGGGAGGTGTGAATCCATGCTGCGAGGGAAGGCTGCCGCAGCCCCAGTCTAGCACAGGTCACGCAGCTCGGGAGCGGGACTCCAGCTGGAGCTGAATGAGCGGCGGAAACCTCCCCCTCGGGCGCCCTCATAGTCGGCCGGCCTTTATGCTGAGTCAATATGGACGACATGGACAACATCCTGACCACGTGCATTTCACAGTCCTCTATAGGCAGCACAGCACAGCGATACATGGCACGCGCATATGGCTTAATTGGGTCGAGGTTGCCGGTTCAACCTAGGTCGTCACGAGCTGTCCAACCGGACCAAGGACACCCGCCTGCCCCCACTCACTTCTTCTTAGCGCCTGCCGCGCCCTGCTTGTCGGCAGCTCCCGCACCGGGAATGACGTAGACGTGGTCGGTTCCCATGATGCCGGTAGTCCCCACCGCCACCTGCTTCTGCTCCAACACCGTGTATAGCTGCCGAGGGCCCTCCGCGTCCTTGCGGAGGTTGATGGTGTCCGGGGTCTCGATGCCCGAAGGCAAGGAGGACGCAATACCGGACGCCAGCCCCGAAACCATTCCCGATGCAAGCCCGGATGCAATGCCCTCCGACATGGCCTCCTCTGCATCCCGCGACCAGACACGAAAGTGAACAGGGCGCAGTGGTGAGCATGTGCTGCGCAATGGTGACCAACAGTACGGTAGCACACGCCGATAAGACAGCCTTACAAGCTGACCGCCTGCACGACCTGCTCAAAACCACTGATGGTGTACATGTTGGCACCGAGAAGTCTAGACGCAGCACGTAAAGAGCTCGTGAGAAAGACGTGAGCAGCCAAGGGCACACAACCACCTCCCCGTTCGGCCCGTCCGAACAGCCGCAGTTTTGGACCCTCGCCAGGCTCATGGAAGCGTCTGTACCCTTCTCGAATGCTACCACAGATTTCAAAGCTCCCTGCCTGCGTTCCGCGGCTCCCCACTAGACGCTCAAGACACCTGATGCTGCTCCCTCCTGCGTGCCCACCGCCGGGCATTCCCCTACACGCGCTAGGCCCTGGCCGCCCCATAATCCACGCACTCCCCCCAGCATCACTTCCCATCCCCTCAAGTTCTCCGTCAGTATACCTATTGACTTACCGTCCAACGCCTGGCCGCCCTCTTCCTCCTGCTCTTCCTCTTCCTCGCTGCTCTCCTCTTCCACTTCGTCCATGACACCCCACACTGTCTCCTTGTCCACCTCCTCATCGCTTTCGCCCCCGTCACCGTGCTCGCCAAACACATCGCCGTACAGCGGGTTACCCTCCTGATCCACGGGAGGTTTGCCCCAGCCACCTGGGGTGATGCAAGAGGGCGCACAACCAAGGTAACACGACATGGCATACCAGTGCTGGCAGCAACAGCGGCGGCAACAAAAGCAGCTGCCGGCGAATGCCTCACCAAGGCGCCCGGCTAACCCACTGACCCCAGAAAAAGCTCCCATCACCTTAATGGTGGTCTTAAACGAATGTCCCGACCGGACGTTCTAATTCCGAAATCGCAAAGAAAGTTCCACCTTGCAGGTGTATGGATGAATGCGTGTGTGCTTACATGCCCTGGGACCAGGGTTCCACGAGCGGCGGGGGCGCGACGGCGGGGCCCCTCGCTGTACAAACTGGGACGACATGAGGGCGCCATGGTAACTCAGCCCAAGCACGTCAGCCACATCACGATCTAGGGGAAGGAACATAGGGCCCTGTTTAGGGTCCTGGCAATACCCCACAAGCAGCCTAGGTGTCCCTCTCTCCCCTACCTGGATGGTACCCGAAGCTGCAGCCGGGCGGAATCGGGGCGTTTAGCCCTGGAATCTTTAAGTTGGGGTACGACGGCGGCGGCCCATAGCGCTGCATGTTGATCAGCCATGGCGGGGGCGACTTATCCGTCATGCCCAGCGCCGCTTGCAGCGTCTCAGACAAGTCGCCCGGCTTGCAGTGCGTGATGCGCGCCTCAAACTCCTTGCCTTCGTAGTACAGCTCGCCCACGCCCGTCAGAGGCGGAGGTTTCTGGTGCTTAAAGAAGGCATCGTGGAGGACCTGTGTGACGGGGAGGATGAAGGCCAACGGGTCCAGGGAGGTCACTTGGGAGAGCGCGATCACAAACATGGGGCCAGGAACACGGTCACAGGTACAGGAACAAGTGCAACCGGCACGGAAGCAGAGCTTAAGAAAAACATTGCGGCCGGGATGCCGAGAAGGAAGGATCCGAATAATGCTACTGAAGATTATACAACCACCGATTATACAAATCGTGTGATGGTCGCCGAGGGGACCTATCCAGCGCTCAGCCTTACCACCAACCATTCCCTCTTCCCTCCTGCGAGCCCCGGGTACCTAGGTTCCTTTCTTCTTCCACAGGAGGCACCCGCCCGGGCCCCGGGCCCCACCCCACCGCACCCCACCCCACCGCACCTGGTAGTCGATGTCCATGCGGCCCATCTTTGGCGCCATGCGCTCCCGCTGCTTCTGCTTCATCTTCTTGGCGTCCTCCTTAGCCTGGTAGGCTGACCGCATCTCCGCAATGCCAGTCGCCTCGATGAAGTCGGGCAGCTTGAAGGGCGGCTTCTCCAGACCGCGTTTACCCTGCAGGTACTTCCGCTTCTGTGACCAATGCCGCGGTACCGGGACCGTGTTGCGGTACGCCTGCGACACAGCACGTGGGGGCAGTAGGGTTTTAATGATGGGAGAACGCGGGTATGGCAGCCCAACTCGTCCAAGCCTTTCGTCCTCGGGGACGTGATAACGAAGTGCCCTCGCCAAGCACAATTTGCAAGAGGCGTCACTGGGCGCGGGGCTGGCGCAGCATCCTACAACACAGGCCATTCACTGGCAGGTGCTTGGGCAGATGCCGTCCAACGCCCTGGCAAGCTCCAACTAGCCACCACAGGACTGCAGCCCTACGGTATGCACCACACTAGGCACAGCTGCCACTCCAATCACCTCAAACACAGCCCAACCGCCCAACTGCGTTTCCCAAGCATCGCTCTGCGGCAGTAGTCCATAGACGTGGAACAGGATGAAGTTCCACATACCTTGAGGAAGACGAGAAGAGGCGGGTCGGGTGCCGTGACGTCCCACACCTCCACCACCTCCGGCCGGGCACAAACCGCCTTCAGCTCCGCCACCTTTAATCGATTTAGAAGCTTGAGCTTCTTCTTGCTGAGCTTGCCCTCCAAACCCTCACCTGCGCGGTACCACAAACACGGGTACGACACCACAATCGGAAAACCCGATGACAACCCAAATCAGAAACATTTCAGCAAGGTCTTTCGTGTGCGACTAGGCGAGCTGCAAGGCACCATAAGACTGTTCCTGACTGGTCGTCCCTACTGGGGCCGGTGCTGGGCACCTGGGATATCGGATTTTGAGGTGTGTAGAATGCGCGGCTGCACACCGACAGCGCACGCGGTCCGTGTCCAAAGACAGTCAGACGCCACCCCAATGCGGATTACGGCGCTGCCGCCATTGTGTGCCGCTACAGCAGCGCTGCTCTCGCCACCCCCACCGTAGCCAAGCCCGTCGCCACCGCGGGGACTATCCTTGCAGGAGCTGCAGCTCTCAACGGAACACACGCGCCTCCCCATGACACTGCGCCACATAGCAAAGCATCTCAGGACAGCGCCGGGGGCCCCAGCACCTAGTGCTTTACGAGCTCCAGCCGCCTGCAGCCAAATGAGCTGCTGCTGCCCCCTCACGACACACACAACAATTGCCTTTGCTGTCCCAAAGGAAAGCCGCTGCAACTGCAGCGGGAGAAAGCACGTGGCCAGCCTGGCTCCGTTGGCCCAGAACTCCAGAGGTGCCTGCTGTGGAGCCTGTGTGTGCGAGCCGGCGAGGGCACATGCTACCCACCCGCCCGACCTCCCACTGCCGCCTCTCCTGTCTGAGTATTTATCTAGCTGAGCTGGCAGAGCCCCCAATCTGCTGCCATCGTCCGCCGTCGACTGCCTATACTTTGAAATGATGCACAGGACCAGGAAGCAGACTGAAAGTGCCGTACCGGGCATCTCGGTATAGACCTGCACATGCTGAGCAGAAGCTGGCGCAGAGAGGCAGACCGAGGGGAGCCCTACGTGCGGCATGCCCGCGGGAGATGCGACAAGCTGCTACGTCCTTTGCAGCGCCGTGGACGTCTGTTCTCTCTGTAGTGACACACGGCGGCGTGAAAGAAACCATATGGGCTGCACACGCCGCATGTCCTGAAGTCCTGACTCCAACGTGGTGGAGGTGGTGGTGGTGGTGCTGCTACTATTCGGGCGGACCGCATTGCTTCTGCTCCTGCTACCGCTGTTAGCGAAGGTGCACAGTGTGTGCGTATCGGCGGGGATGAGAGGGACCACTGGCGATTGAAGCAGGTACCGGCGGGGAGGCTCAACCGAATGACTGAAACTGGGGAGCACCGATGAGAGCTCCAAGACGAGCCCTCACTCCGAGCCCTCATATCCCAACACGATTCCAACCACCTTAAAATCCTTAGCTGCCCACAAAGCCCACATTACCGAAAGCAACGCAACAGGCAATCAACTGCCAAGTGCTTCCCCAAGTCCTCATCAGCCCTTTCAACGTAAGGAGGCTCCAAGGTCCAATCGGACCGCACGGGCAACCGCACCTTCCAAATCGTCGCTGTCCTTGTCCTCCCCTTGGTCAGAGGTTGTTGCCTTCGCGTCATCCTTGGCCCGCGTGCCATCCTGCACCGGGTAGGGAGAAACGGTGCCATGGCTGCTCCGTGTCACGGCTCCAGAGGAGGAACCCACAGCTGTTTTTTTTAACTACTCCATGACTTTCTCGTCTTCGATCCCCAACCGCGTCCATCTCTGCAGACCATCTTCTGCTCTAAGCTAGAAGGGGTTCGGGTACGGCGAACCCCTTGTCGCATCAAACAGCTTGATCATCGCATGCGGCTTACGGCTCCTGGCGGCTGTAACAGCTAACCACCGCTCACCTCATCGTCGTCCTTGGCTTCCGCTGTTCCGGTCACCTCCTCGGCTGATGCGAATCGCTCAAATATTTTTTTGAACTCCTCGTAAGGGTCCGCGGATGATTGCGGCTTGGGTTCCTGTCCAAGAGGGCATCATTCAACAGGGTTTGCCACGGAAGACACGACCGATGAAGGTCCATGCTGCCTATGCCTATGCCCACATGACACTCCCTGCCAGAGGAAAACCTCCTCAGCACGAACAGCCGTGCACGTGGTCTCGCGACACATCATTTCCGCCCACCCGCCTCTCCCATACGCTGTTTATGCAGAGCGCTGCGCAAAACGCATATCCCGGTGATCCTTTGGCTCGATGCCCGGGCCTTCCAGCGTCCGATCCGCACATGGGGCAGCATGTGTGCAGCATCACGCCGCATGTCCATCGTTGCCCCGCTTTTCCTGCCCTGCCCGGGTTTCGTGCATCACAGCTTCACTGCCCCGGCCGGAACCTCCGACCCCTGGGCCGTCAGCATCGTATGCCCATTGGAGGCTTTCCCGGGCGCACCTCCGCGGGTCTTGTAAAGCCCAAGCCGCCGAAACCCAAGCCTAGCCCCGGCCGGTCCGGGTCCTCCCAAGCTTCTGCTTCTGCCGTGGATGCTCCCCCTGCATCGCCTTTTAGAGCTTCGAGGTCCAGCGGGGCTGAGACGTACTCGATCACAATATCCTCATCGTCCCCGTCCTCCTGGAGGGTAAGGACACCGGCAACGTCATCCTCACGTCCTCAGAGACTGAGGCTGTCGGCTGTGTGCAGACCTGGCCCGCCCTGTACCCACCGATGCCGGCGCCGCACTGCCGACCGCTCCCTTGCCCTGGCCGCCTTGTTGCCTGCGCAGGTCAGGGCTCATGTCAGCCTGGGAGTACACGCCTGCGACGCTGTGAGGGAGGGCCGCCCGCCGGCACCTTCGGAGTTGCTTATTGAGCTTCTTTTTCTTCCTCCGCTCCTTCTCCTTCTCCGCCTTTGACTTCTTAGCCCTGTTTGCTGCGAGCTCTGGCTGGGGTGCGCCGTTCGCCGCGCCGTGCACAGTTTCCTCCTGAGCCATACCGGGCGCCAGCAAGCGCGGGCAGCCGCGGTGGTACGCTGTTTAGCTTCTCAGTTATCCTCGTCACAAGTTATCGTACGCAGGTCTTATTATTGACACGGCAAGCAAGAAACTAAGGAGAGCCCAAGATCGAGTGTCACGTCGTCGAAAAGAGTTAACCGTGTATTCACTCACTATCTGAGGTGTGTAGCTAGAGTAACCACGCTCCATAGTGAGTACGTTTCGGTGCACGAAGGAAAGGACGAATGCAATTTTGCTCCAGGGGAGGTGGCCGAGACAGGAAGGAGAAGTCCCTCGTCTCACCACCTCAGTCTCTCTTTTGCCCTCCTTGCGTCTATTGTTAAGGCGGAACCATGGCCGACCAGGTGTGTAGTTGAACTGCCGCCGCCGACAGCCTGTAATTTGGTTGGCGTGCTTCACTTAGGCTTGTATTATTTTACGTACAGACCGAGAGGGCGTTCCAGAAGCAGTTTGGTGTGACTGGCTGCTTCAAGAGCAAGGAGAAGAAGGCTCCGGGCAAGAGCGGCCACCGCTACTACAAGCAGATTGGCTTGGGCTTTAAGACCCCCAAGGAGGCCATTGAGGGTGCGTGCAGCGCAACTTTTAAATATAACACGAAAGCGATGTATGGAGGCTTATCGACAGTGGGAACTTGTCCGAATGCCCAGCAGCGCCGTCGCACAAGAGCGACTAAATTATCTCTCTGCATCCGCAGGCCACTACATCGACAAGAAGTGCCCATTCACCGGCAATGTTTCCATTCGCGGCCGTATTTTGTCGGGTGAGCTGCAGTTGGCGGCCGCATATTGGCCAAATTTGGTGTTTCGCGCTCAGGACAATTCAAATTCAGCTTAAAGTGGCAGTTACTGGCTTAATAGTGTGATTCCTCTTCGGTGGGGTGCGCAGGCGTGGTGAAGTCGACGAAGATGAACCGCACCATCATCGTCCGCAGGGATTACCTGCACTACGTGAAGAAGTATGGCAGGTGTGCATCCGCCATCAGCTATCAGATCAGGGTCATGGGGGTGACACGGACATCTGTGGGAGAAGCTTGAGCTTGTATAGCTGGCGACCTGGGTCGGGGGGGAAAGCAGCGGGGTTTGGGATGCGGGCTGGAGGGGCTGTGTAAACTCATCGCCTTGCTCCTAAGCAAGCGCAAACCTATGAGCCTGGGACCGGTTCTGGTTAACCCAAGACACAGATGAGGCACCCGGGGAGGTAGGTATGGGCGGTGTCATCTAGATTTTCGACTGGAAAGAGCGATTGCAAGCAGCATATGCTCCTCCTTTCATGGGTGGCTACAGACTACGTTACGTGTGCCAGGTAACGTGTCCTCAGTCCATCGGAAAGCTGGCTGATCCAGGGGCTGCAATGGGGTATCTGAAGTCCATATTAATGGTTTCCGATTTGGCAAGCCGACGTATGGAAAATCTATGGCCGGGCTATGCGACTAGGATTCCCTCCAGCAATGTCAACCTACTCCAACGGATCATGGCTTCCCGTTGTTGGGGGGTTCTGCTCTTCCCGAATTGATTGAGCATGTACCGGTTTTGTTCGCCGGTCTCCTAACATTCAGCCACTTCTCTAACGTGTAGGTACGAGAAGCGCCACCGCAACATCGCGGCTCACGTCTCCCCCTGCTTCCGCGTGAAGGAGGGTGACAGCGTTGTGGTCGGTCAGTGCAGGTACGCTTGAGGATGCTGATTCGTCCGGGATCGCTGGAAAGGGATTTTCAAGGACGGATCCTGGGCTTCGGGTGGTTTATTATGCAGCAGCATTTTGCGCCTAACGTGGCAGGCTGAGCTGTTTACGTGGTTCTGGTTGTGCTGCGGGGCATGGTATGCACCTAGTAAATATGGGAGGGGGAAGACAGAGGAGTTCTGGAGCTCAATTCGGAATGTGTACATGGTGTATTCTTTGCATCTAGGAAGCGATGCCTGGAGTCCTTCCATTTGTGTTGTTGTGGATGTGCTCGTTTACAAACTCCTGTCCATAAGTTGCCAGCGGTGGATGCCGGCGGAATTTGTATGTGTTCTCACCTTTTATGGCTGTCCGGTGTCTGAGTTCGGCTTCTGGATCCATTACCTTCGGGTTTTAGGAAGACGATCAGTTACATTTTGCCCCTTCGTGCACATATGCCCGCAGGCCCCTGTCGAAGACCGTCCGCTTCAACGTCCTGCGTGTGACACCTCAGGGGTCGTCTGCCAAGAAGGGCTTTTCGTCTTTCTAAGCGACAACACGCATTTGTAACGCCCTAAGAGGATACTCGTTTCATGGATCCATTTTATGATATAAAAAGTGTACAAGAATACCTGGATTTGCCATTTCCGCCTCCTGTGCAAGATCAGACTACCCGGTGTCACCTGTTACCGCCAGAAAGAAGCACAGTCTAACATCCAATATCGAATGCGTGCTGCTCAAGTGATAGCGTGGAAATCTTCCAGTCGCAGCGCAAAATCACCAGCATCCCCAACCTCCTTAAAACAGGTGCTTTTACAGTTGCCTGCAAACGGGCGCCATCATCACAAACCCTGCTTCCATATCCTAACTAGCAAATCAACACACAATCTCTACTTCTAGAGGATGGCGCTTCGTGACCGCTTTTTCTGGCGGGGCCTAAACAAGTACCCCATCCATGTCTGCTTAGCAGGCGGGCCCGTCGTGGTAGAGCTCTCCATAGACGGCAAGGAACTCATCCGCGTTGAGCGTGTTGGAGTCACCACGGCGGACTCAGGTTCGGGCAGGAAAGCCTGGGCCGGCTGATAGCTGTGAGGTCCAGAAGCAGGTGTCATGCCAGCGGAACCCTCCACTGGCGCAGCAGATGCGGCTGCCGGGGTCTGCATGGCAATGGCGAGCGCACCACACGTATACTTATCACCAGAGGCCTCAGCCTCGCCATACCGCCATGGGACGCTATTCCAGGACTATTCCATGGCCACAACAAACACACTTAAGAGGGACAGCGATCACGCGTACCTGGTGCAAAGAAAGAGGCGGTCCTGTAGTCGTGCCCTGCATCTGCAGCTCGAGCCGCTGCGTCTGCAATTCCAGCTTGTGCCGCAGCTCTTCGTTCTCCCTTGTTAAGCATACAACGCGCGCCTGCGTGCCAGCAGCCGAGCCGAATGTTAAGCCATTATGACGGGACATTAACAACAGACAGATCGCGGGGTCCTACTATAGTACCGGCAACCTAACTCCTACCCAATCGAAAGCAGCCTTACAAGGAGTGATAGTATACCTTCATCCCCTTATGCCTCACGACTTTGGCAACAGGATGAGTCGGCAGAGCGCTGCAAGCTACCGGGCGGCCATATCACCGTCGCCAGCGACAGGTATTCAGATGAAACGTCCCAGTCCTCCCCAAACTTTATTTTACGTCTACCTGCAGCTCCACGACCTGACGTGCTGTGGCCTCTTGCGACTGCTCAAAGTTCTCCATCAGCTCGTAGATTGATTGCATTAGCCGCAGCTCCTCCTCAACCATCACCGCCATCGGGTCGCCACCGCTCACCGGGCCCGCAGGCAGCCACCGCGCCAGCTGCAGCGCCACTGCATCCAGGTCCTCTGGCAAGCGGCCCCGTGCTGCGGCCCGTAACGCCTGATCGTCCAGGCAGGCCAGGGCCCGCTCGGCTACCACAGTGCTGGGCGCATCACGTTGCGGCCGTACCGCCTCCCAGTCGACTCGTAACAACTGATCCGGCGTGTCAGGGATGTCGGTGCTGACGGCCGCCGACGGATGCCGCACGAGCGCCAGCGGGCCCGCACCAGCGGCATCAGCGGGAGCTCCGCTGCTGGTGGAGGCACCATCCGCGGTGCAATCTGGTCTCTGGTCAATAGCCGCTGCGATGGCAACGTCCTCGCTACGAAGGTTGCAGGTAGAACCGCCGCCGCTCTGTGGCGGCGCCTCCACCGTCGCCGCCAACTCGGACGCCAAGTCGCACTGGACCTCCTGTTCGGCAGTTGGCGGCTTGGGCGGCGGAGCCTGCGCCGCTGGCGGCAGGTGGCCGTTGGGCAGGACGGAGCTCGTCCCGGCCAAGGCAGCTTGCAAGGCCAGCTTCTCCTCCGCTGCCTCCAGCTTGGCCTCCGTCTGCTTGAGCTTGACCACCAAATTGCGGCCCTTGAGCTGCGTCTGCTGCAGCTCCTGAGCCCGCTCCTGGGCCTCCCGGGTCAGCACTTCCACCTGAGAGGACGGCGCCGAAGTGACAGGCGCAGCGGCGGCAGCGAAAGGACTTGCAGTTGGGTCACTAGCAACAATTGCCAATGCAGGAATTGGTAAAAAGCACAATCTAAGATGCAAAGCAGGGCAGGGTGTTGTTGGGTCCCCGCCGCGCCTGCATCACGTATGCAACTTGGCACCATCTTTTGACATGGCGCACCAGCGGCTGCCAGCAACTCGCGGTTACCGACTACTCGCGAGCCACAGTCACGCCCGCACACCTGCTTCTCAAGCTTCCTGGCCCGCTGATGCGCCTCGTCTGCGGTACGCTCCGCTTTCAACACTGAAGACTTGAGCTGCAGCACCTGCGCCTCCAGGCTGACTACCTCAGCTGCCAGTGCCTGCGCCCGGGAGCTGGCCTCCACGTAACTGCTCCGTGCTGCCTGGCGCTCCTCGGAGAAGCCCTCCAGCGACAGTGCTTGTGCCTCCAGCTCCTGCTCATACTGCTTCATCTGCGGAACGCAGGCGGCGAGGCGCGAGCGGGCGACGGAGCATCACAACTCGCATGTAAGGGTTATGTGTAGCACACTAATACTTCGGTCGTAAACAACTTTGGGTGAAGGGTAAATAAGGCCACAACGAGCTTTCAGAGAGGCAGACCATCGTGAACTGAAGGCCCATCTGAAAGGCCGTAGTAGTCGACACGAAGGACATGCAACACCCCTGCCGCTCGACGGCCGTTGCCTCCACACGCGACCTAAGATGAAGGCGCGTCACACTTGCATGCCTAACAGCCGGTTACCTGTTGCCAACTATGCGGAATGGTAAGCCTCCCTAGCAGCGACGCCGACCCATGACCCCGGCCCACCTTGCGCTGAAGCTCTTCCATGGCGGCTCCCCGAGCGTTGTACTGCCGCATGAGCTCCTCGTTCTCCTCTGCGAGCTGCTCATTAATCCGAGTCTGCTGCTGCAGCCCCCGCATCAGCGCCAGCTTCTCTTCGGTCAGCTCGTCAATGTGCTGCTGCAGCGCCGCGAACTGCGCTTGGCTGACGCCGCTGCTGCCCCCCCCAGGGCCGTGGGCGTTTGCTCCGGCTGTATGCGCGCCTCCCCTGCAGAAAACGAACGTGGGGTCAGACGCAGACATGGGTCACATTCCGAGGCGCACCGACATTACCACTGACATTACAGTTTGGGTTATCACTTGTGCCGGCCTGTCATGTCTAATAAGACATGGGTATGGGAACATGTATTTGTGACTTGTGCAACGCACACCAAATTGCACGTGCGCAGGAGCGGCTTGGGCACTAGCAGCGCCATGACCACGTAGGAACGCGCGGGGCACTCACGTGGCCTGAGAGTGCAACGACAACACTCCCGCAGAGTCAACGGAAACACGCCGGCTGTGGTGGCTGCGTAGCTGTGGGACACTATCCACATGTGGCAGAGCGTTGCCGCGTCCACTGCCTCCTGCGCCCTCCAGCATGCCGCCCACACCAGCGACCAAGCCACCGGCGCTGATCGTCCCAGCACCACTGCCCAAACCCTCCTCCACTCCTTCGCCCCCCAAGCCAGGCGCAGCGTGCCGTCCTGACGACACGCCCCTTGCGTCAGCAGACACATCGCCCCGGTGGGAATGCCTGGACGTGTCGGTACTGCTTTGGTCAGCACCCCCGCGACCGGCGGTGTTCGTGCCGGGGAATGGATCCGCCGCGTGGCTGTGCGGCTGGGCATGTGGGTCCTCCGGTCCCTCCCTGGACGGCGCTGCGGACATAGTGGACAAAAGGTTGTCCAGGTATGACTCCAGGAAGCTGGAGGTTGAGCTTGTATGCGCAGCAACACTGACGGCAGAAGCGACCTCGTGCGGCGCAGCGACATCGCCGACTGCGGATGGGGTGTAGGCGGAGCGGTAGGTAGTGGCAGCGGAAGCATGTGGCATGGAGCCATTGGCGACGGAGGTAGCTGGTGCGGGGGTTCCAGCGGGTCGCGGCCGCGGTGCCGCTGCTGCCTGAGGCAGTGGGGGAAGGCTGCCCAAGGGCGCGGGTAGAAAGGACGTGCTGAACGACGGAGCGGTTACGAACTCCTCGGGCGCTGCATCAGACATAAACCCTGACGCCGCCACCGAGTCCTGCGATTGCCCCAACGAGCCGCCCGGCATCAGCGGTCCCGCCGTCGCCAAAGCGCTGCGATCTTGCACCCCCATTGTTGTTGCTGGCGTCTGGGCTACTCCCCTAAGGAACGAGGGCAGCTGCGGTCCAGTATTGTCCCTGGCATCCAGCCCTCCTGCAAGCCCTACGCTACTAGTGCTGCTGATCCCAAACGCCGGCGCCCCGTCCATACGCAAGATGCCACTGGGTTGCTCAGATGCTGACCCGTAACTAAAGGTGTTACTTGGCGGTGGAGGGTGCGCTTCGTGAACCCCTGGCCCGGTCCAGACGTTGGCTGAAGGGGCAGCGTATGATGTCCACCGGGCAGGTTGTGTCGTGGACGGCAGCGAGTCCATGTCCTCCGCCACTGCCGCAGCAGCTTGACTGGCAACGGGCTCGTGTGTGGGTCCCGGCAGTGGAGCTTGGGGCGCAGGTGCCAGGCTGGCAGTGTCCTGAGGCTGGGCTGGCAAGGGAGCTGGGTCTACACGGCCTGGTTGTTGCGCGGGCTGCACAGGCAGCGGCATGGGCGCAGGCTGCTGCAGCAGCGGCGTCGTTGTTGCCGCTGCTGCTGTTGCTGCCGTTGAGTGCTGCTGCTGCTGCTGCTGCTGCAAAGAACTGGACTGCTGCTTGGCTGGTGAGGGGGAGCCAAAGAGCCAGGCGAAACGGGAAGGTGCAGGCGCTGAGCGTGGAGGCGGCGGTGGCCCCGGCACCCCGGCAGTGGATGCTGCTGCTGCTGCTGCTGCTGACGATAGTGGATACAACGGGACTACCGACGAGGGCTCTGACTGGAACGGCGGCAGCTCCACCGCAGATCCAGCACCTGGTGCTGTGGGCGGGGCTGCCGCGAGATTGGGCGTTGCATGGATGTCGGATCCGTCTGCACCTGCACGTGCCGGGAGGAGGAACGTGCAAAATTAAGTTTAGGTAGTTAGGGAATGTGTGTGCGGCCATTGCGTCCCGCTACACGGTGCCATGAGCTTCCCCGAGGAAAGCAGGTGACCCGCATCGCTCGAACACCCACCGACATCGGCTTTCAGAAGCGCACAACACATGAATAGGGGTTCTGTTCACAAGCCGGGTTGTGTGCAGCTGCCCGGGAAGCGAGCGAACCCTTCGAACCCTGTGTCGTGTCCATCAAGAGCGCACAACTTTCACATGTCCCCTAGCCGCGCACACACCCGCAGAGAAAGGAAGGGTCGGCGATGCAGCGCCGACGCCCGCTGCTGCGGCGCCATCACCCAAGCGTTCCGATGGCCATGACCGGCCCTCCTGCGGTACCGGTGGTGGAGCCGGCCCTGCCGCTGAGGAGAGGGCGTTCGCGTCCGCACCACTGGTTCCCAGATAGCTGTCCGACAATTGTTCGTAACATGGAACGCTGCTTGCGGCAGCTGCCGCGACGGGGCCCGAGGCCGAGGAAGTCACCTCGGTCCCGGCTACACCCGCATTGTCGGTAGGCCGTAGCGATGCCGTAGCCAGCTGCACGTCGGCGCTACTGGCCGGGTCATGGGCTGCACTGCCCGACAGCTCTGGTGCGGGTTGCGGCACGTGTCCCACCAGGTGGCCATGGACACTACCACTTGGAAGCGCGCCGATCGTCGGGGTAATAGTACTGCCGGACCCTTCGAACAGTGCCACAGGCGGCGTCGATATCGACGGCGCTGCGGCTGCGGAGTAAGCCAGCCACGGTGGTCGCGTCTCTGGCTGATGCACCTCCGTTGCCCACCCATATCCCATCCCGGTGCTAGTGCTCGTGTCCAGCGTTACTGCTGCCACTGCTGAAGGTGGCGGCGCCGCCTCAGCCGAATCCCCAGCTGTGGGCTGTCGCGACTGAGAATCAGGTATCTTAGACAGTGGCCCAGGGTCGGGTGAGGCAGATGCTTGGCTAACGACCCCCATGCCATCAGCACCCAACGAATGCCCAGATGCAGCCGCTGCATACTGGGCGTCCAAGCGAGTGGCATCGGGCTGAGCCTTGAGCTCTGCAAAGGCCTGTGTTAATGGAGCCCTGTGGCTGATGTCAGAGTCCCAAGCTTTGTCCGCTTTGTTTGATGACGCCGCTTGCCAGGCGCGTTGCTCGCCCCCGTGCAGATCTAGGCCGTTGGTGGTGGCAGCGGACGGAAGGGCTGGCTCCGGCGCGACGGCATTACTGACCGACACGTGTACATGCTGCAGCCTGCTCCCGGAATCAGTCAGGCCAGGGGTAAAGAGGGAGGATGATGATGATGACGAAGCTCCGGCCGCCGAAGCACCAAAACGCTCTGTTGACGATAAAGATAGCTCTCCAGCCTGTGGCGTCTGCCCAAATGGTTCCTTGTGGCCCAGACTGTCACTAAAGAAGGCAGCATCGTCGCTGAGCCCCGTAGCGACCGATCCCACAGGGCCGTTGGCGGCTGTCCGCCCAGATGGAGCCCCCTGTTGGCTCGGCGCGGCCCCAGATAAGCTCTCCCAAGGCCAAGCAGATGCCAGGTTGCTTCTGGGTTCTACTGCCGAGCCCACCGCGCCAACGCTAGGGCCAAGCTGCTGCGCCTGCGTCTGGCTAGAACCCGATTCAATGCCCCTTTCAACCGTGGGTAGCGCCAGCACAGACACGGGTGCAGCACTGGTTTCAGCGCCATAGACCAGTGGCGCCGCAGACGGCGCACTCCAGGACTGGAGCGGGGCGCCGTTAGAGCTGATCCGCGAAAAGCTGTTGCCGTTGGTCTGCGGACCTTGGGCAGCGGGGGCAGCCCCGGGGGATCCAAACGGAATGGGCGCGTCCTGCAGTACTACGAAGGTGGTGGGGGGCCCGCTTAAGGGCCCCGGACCCAAGCTGCTGCTCGGGGCGGCTGGGAAAGGCTGTGCGGCTGGCGCCGGAGCAGCGAATGACGATTGCTCTCGGGGTAAGGATACGGGCGGTGTGCTAGCCGTAGGTGCCGCATTGGGAGTGCTGCACGCTGGGGAACCGATGGGCTCTGCAGCTAGACGTGGCGGGGCCCCGGGCCCTGCTGCGCTTACAGCCGGGATCGAGGTCGAGTAGCCGTTGCTATTTCCATTCGCCATATGTAGTTGCGACGACCCTGTACCGCTTGTTGGCAGAGTCGTAGGTGCAGCATCTGCAATCCAAAGCGGCCGGCCACAGCGGTACGTTATTGTCCCGGCCAAAGGCTGTTGCAGCCTGTCTCGTCACCGGCTGTGGAAACACGAGCCGTCAAAAACACTCGCAACACTTAACGAACCCGTATCCGATTGCGGTCCACTCCCATAGCTACAGAGGTGCGGTTCGATCGCCGCGCAAAGGGAAAACCGTACAAGCGGCAAATAACAGCCTGTCCATCAGGTCCTACCCTGAGAAGGCTTGGTCAAAGGAACTGTTGTCACCGCTTTGCCTTGGGCTTTTGCCTTGCGGAACTCCTCCAGCTGCCGCAAGCAACACGGGAATCAAACTTGCCGCTATGCCAAGTTGTGATGCTTCAATATTACTTACCTTGCGTCGACCCGCTTCGGCAAGCTCCTTCCTGTTTTGCATTTATGCTTGTTGATGTCTAGGCACGACCAAGTCCAAAGATGAGGCGACAAGCAAAGCAGTTTGCTGTATGATAAATTCATGACGAACCTACACAGGTTTCAACGTCTTTAGGCCTAATAATTGGCCCGGGCTGCAGCACAGCAGCGATGCTCTGCATTTTCACCGCAGGCGCAAGTTGTGCTGAAGTGTTAAACCTGTCTAAGTACTTTAATAACTACCTAATATACATAAGCAATCATGGGAATGAATATTTCCGTTTCTCATTTTGCACGTATGCAGCGAGGGCTCACATCGTACAGTACCGAAACGGCGACCGTGCCGGACATGGTCACCATCAATAGTATTGTAACGTGGAATACATATGTACATTACTAAAGCATTCTTCATCCCAAGATAAGAATGCCCGGTCGACTGGCATATGGTTCAGCTGGGCGCAATACCTACACTTCCCCGCAAGCCTATCCTATTTTAGGTATAGTGGCTTTGCGCTCATACCATCAGTTGACTACTAATTGCTCGGCGCGATGCCGCGCCAGGCTCTCCTGTTTGGCAAACGGCACGACAGGCGAACCGTCCGATGCGTCCATTTCCGTCCAGACAAGCGACAACGTCCTGCCAGCTGCGTTAGAAGCTCATGTAGAACCACCCGGAGTTGCGACCAACGCGCTGGAATCCCTGGACGACATGGCGGCCTTCGTGGAGCGCACACGACTGGAAGAGGAGAGCATTCGGCGTAGGCGCGAGGAGGTGCGTGTCCTTGCGACTTGGCGGCCCAATACACAAACACCCCGGCCGCACTCCCGCCCTCACCCTACGCGCTAAGGGGTATCACCAACACGAACACGCAAGGCGATGCTGCCCTATGCGCAGACGTCGCTTCCAAACACCTTCAACAGCAGCATCAGCATGCAGCAATAACCGGACCTGCTGCTGCTGCTGTTACTATATTCGCATACCCCAGTCCTTTTGTAACCCTCGTATGGCACACAGCACGTTGTACCACGCAGCGCCAAGAAAGCCTCCACCGTGGGGAAGAGGGGGTTACCTGTGGCCTCCCCTCGCGACACCCAGGCCGCTCATGTACCTCCAGCCGGGGGGACCTGAACACTGGATGCCCCCCCTCCCCTAACCCCTCCCTTTTTTGGGGGGGGGAAAGGATAAACCGCCGCCGCTAACTTCCTATACCATGGCATACCCCACATGCGGGCTCTATTGTCGCTCCTCCCTCCTTCTCCCGTCCTGATCCCCTCCGCGCCCACTTCCGACTGATGCTCCTTAGAAATGTCTCGACAATGAGCTCACCCCTCTAAGAACCACAACCCCTATTTCCACATACATACATACATACATACATACATACATACATACATACATACATACATACATACATACACAATGCGCACCCCACACATGCTCTCCGCCACCTCTCCGTGCAGGTGGAGTTACAGCTCCTGCGCATGCGGCAGCAGGAGGCGGTGCGGCGGCAGCAAGCCATCAAGCTGCGACTAGCCACGGACCGGGCCAACGCGGCGGTGCTACGGGGACAGGCAGAGGCAGCAGCAGCAGCAGGACAGAACCACAGGCCACATGAGACCGCAGCAGTGCCCGCGACATACGGCTCCATGGACGACATATCACCGAGGGACGACCTGGCTGCTGCCACAGCCGCCGCCGCACCTTCACCATCATCATCATCATCATCGTCGTCGTCGTTACCTGCGGCTGTAGCAGCAACGGCGGCGGTGGGTGCTACTGGTGTCGCCGCCTCGGCGCCCGGGGCGCCGACCGGGCCGCTGGGGTCCTCGGCGCCGAAGAAGAAGCTGGTGCTGAAGAAGAGCAAGCGGATGACGGCCGTGGCGGCCGCCGCGGGTTTACACCGGGTGGGGATGTGATGTGGCCGGGGGGGGGGCCGGTGTGGTGTGTGTTGGGATGGGGTGGAAAGGGCCGGGCTGGGCTTTGCTCTGGGGGTGACGATGGAAGGCAAGGCGCAACCCACCACCAATACACAGCCGCACACATACACAGCCGCACACGCACCCTCTAGACACCCGCCTCCAACTGACTGCCAACTGGCTTCCCCGCTCACTGCATGCAGGTCTCCACACCCCCGGCCGCACCAACATCGGGCACATCGGGCCGAATGGGGGTACCCGTGGTGGGGTACGGCAACAGGACGGGCAGCGGCGGCGGCAGCAGCAGTGCAGGGCAGTCGCAAGGTGGCGGGTCGGGGGTTTTGGGGGGTGGGGGTGTTGGCAAGGCGCTACTCAGCCGCGAGGAGTTGATCGAGAAGCGCAAGGAGGTGGAGGCCGGGGGGACAAGTCCCGGGGGAGCGTGTGACAGCGGGGACGATGGCTGCGGCTTCGACGAGGTGGTGGTGCCCAAACCCATTTTCATCATCAGCGACTGTACCGGTAGGTGCTGCCGGGGGGTTGTGTGGTTATGTGTGGAGAAAGGGAGGAGGAGAAGGAAATGGGGGCCGGTTGAGGGGCGAAATGGGGGATGTGCGGTATGGGAGGGCAGAGCTGGCTGCTGCATGTGGAGAGGAGGAAGAACGGAGTGTGGGAGGCATGAGGCGCTCGGAGTGCGGGGGGTGGGGGGGAGAGAGGTGTTGCCGTACTCTGATGTTTCCCTGCGGCACGGTTGAGATGGCGGGCTCTGGTTGTCCCTTGTGGTTCGGTCCAAACAGCTGGTGCGGGTTGTCTGTCTGTGTCTCTCTGTCTGTGTGTCTGTCTGTGTGTGTGGTTGTGTCCATTCACGCAGTGGAGCCGCAGCTCCTCTTGCTCTCGTGAGGGCCTCCTCCCGCCTGGTGACGCCGAGGGGGACTGCCGTACTAGGTCTGATAATAATGATAATGGTGAAGGCGAAGGTGAGGTATGAGTCACCGCAGTCACCGCCGTTGCCCTGACTGCTACCCTGACTTCTGTTCTGCGGACGCTGGTGCTGGCGCTGGTGCTGGCGTTGATGGTGGTGCGGGTGGTGGCCACCTCCCCGGGTGGGTTCCCCCCTCTGGCCTGGCGGGTGACTTGGTGGGCCGCAGGGGAGAGCGCGGCCCGCACTGTGAGGGCAGCTCTGAACCAGTTCGAGATGCGCTGCCGGACGCAGGCGCCCGCGCAAATCATGATCTACCGCTTCGTGGAGTCCGCGGACAAGGTAGTGAGGGCCTAGGGGGGGGGGGCGTAGTAGCCCCTCAGCATGTTGGTGCTGGGCTCGGGCCCCACCCGTACATCCGCCTCTAGCTCCCCCAGCCGGCCTGGGTGGATTGGGCGGTATGCGGTCTCTTTAGTTTGAGGTCCACCGGTCGCCCCTTGAGAATGGGGGGAAGACCTGCCGTGTGGGTCTGGGGGTTGGGGTGTGTGGAGGGGGGAACCGTGAGCTGACCTGAGCTGTCCTGTAAGGGCACAATGTGGTGCGTTGCAATGCGGGCTGTGTATGTATGCATGTATGTATGTGCAGTTGGGAAGGAGAATGATACTCGATGACGTTGTGTCACTGTGCGGTGTGGTGTGGTGTTATTCGCAGATGATGAGCATCATCAACGAGGCCGCCAAGGTGGGGGGGGGGGAAGACGAACCACGAGCGAGTAGGTGGGTGGGTGCCGGGTGGTGGAGTTACCCGGCGGGGTGGGGGGTAGAGATTGTGTGTGTGCGTGTTGGGGGGGGGCGCTAGTGGCTGGGTGCCGGGTGCAGTGCAGTGCACCCTCCATCACCCGCGCCCACCGCCTCGGGCTGAGGGCGCGGGTGATGGCGCGAAGCGTACAATACAATCATTGGCAGATCCTCTATCACCGCCCTCCTATACACATGCACAATGACGGGAGCTGACCTCTTCTCTAAGACTGTGGCGATACCTGTGCATCCCTCCATCCACACATGCACACCTCCCGACCCTGCACCCCGCACTCCTGCTCCTCCCCCCGCCTGCCGCCCCTAGGAGGACGCCCTGGTGGTGTACACGCTGGTGGACCCCAAGGCCGTCAAGGTGGTGCAGACCGCATGTAAGCTGCAGAAGGTGCGGTATGTGGACCTGTGGACCGCGCTGCTGGACACCATGGAGGTGCACTTGAATGCTGTGCGCAGGTGGGGCGGGGGGGGGGCCCGGGGCGGGGGGGGAGGAGAGGGGGAGGGCAGGGAGGAGAGGGGGAGGAGAGGGGGAGGAGAGGGGGAGGGCAGGGAGGAGAGGGCAGGGGAGGATCTCCATGACTCATGTGGACTGCCTACGAGTTCAAGGTGTGAATGTCAGTATCCTAAGTCCTCTAGGTTTGTGTCTTGTCCACATAGCGATGTGGACCACCCCTCCCTCCGCCGGCCCGTGTGGCTCATCGTAATCCCACAGTAACCCCTCCCTTCCCCCAATGCCCCAACACAAGAGACCTTCCCCTGGTTCACACACACACACACGCACACATATGTATATATGGATGTGTGCAAGATACCCGGGCACAGTGACACCTAGGTCTTACCTGCCCTGCCCTGCTCTTGTCCTCCTCTCTCCGCCTCCCCTTTTCCCTTCCCCCAACCGGACTTCCCCCGACACTTATGTACATACATACACACATACACATGCTCAGTGGCGTGCCTGCGTCCCTGGCGGAGACGCGCAAGCCCACCGCCAGCCTCACCGACGAGTACTTCCGAATGATTGAGGCAGTGGTGAGTACGGCAACATGAACGCAATGACAATAGAAACTAGTGCTACTGGTAGTGCTGCTGCGACTGCTACTTGCGTGGGCTGTCAGTCCGCGTCCGTCTGCGGGTTGGTCCCGCCCGCGGCGCGCGCGATGACACCCCCACCTGGGTTAGGCCAACACGGTTAGGCTTCCGGGTCCCGCGTCTGGAGGTACAGGCGGGCCCCTTGGGGCTTCCTCTCGTCTTCCGTCCACACGCGTGCACACAGGTACACTCACACACACATCTGCCCCTTCTCCCTTTTCTTTTGTATCTGTTGGCAACCTTCCCCTCCCCCTCCCCCTCCTTCAAAACCGCCTACTGGTCGGTTCTGCTTCTCTTTCCTTGGCAGCAGCTTCACTCTTTTGTGGTTCGTCTTTCCCCTCCGGCCCCTCCTCCCCTTCCGGCCCCCAACGTCAGGAGTACACTCGCAAGATGGACGACGGTGCCCACCCGCAGGAGTGGGTGAATGCCGACCTGGTCATTCTGGGGGTGTCGCGGTGCGGCAAGACGCCGTTGTCCATCTACCTGGGCCAGCGGGGATACAAGGTGAGGTGAGGTGCGGCGCGTCAGGTGGCGGAGAGTCAGGGGATGGATGCGGTGCAAGGGCTGGGAGACGGGGAAGACGGGGAAGACGGGGGGGAGGGGGGGAAGGGGGGAAAGACGGGGAGGGCAAAAAGGCCCGTATTCCTGACGGGGAAGATGGTATAAGAGGCAAAGGCCAGGAAGGTCACGGTACGGTACGGTCTCTCCTCTCGCTATTCTGCACCAACCGCCTGCTGCTGCTTCCCGCCTGCTGGTGGAGCAGGTGGCCAATCTGCCGCTCATTCCCGGCTGCCCGGTGCCTCGTGAGCTGTACGACATCGACCAGACCCGCATCGTGGGCCTTATCATCGACCCCAACGTGCTCGCCACCATCCGGCGCAACCGAGTGAACATCATGGGGGTGTCGCGAGCGCAGGCCATCGACTACGCGGAGGTCAAGGTACGTCCTTTCCCTTTCCAGGTCCTGGTGCGGCTGTGAGGGGGAGGCTGTGAGGGGGAGGCTGTGTGGGGGAGGCTGTGAGGGGGAGGCTGTGAGGGGGAGGCTGTGAGGGGGAGGCTGTGAGGGGGAGGCTGTGTGGGGGAGGCTGTGAGGGGGAGGCTGTGTGGGGGAGGCTGTGAGGGGGAGGCTGTGAGGGGGAGGCTGTGTGGGGGAGGCTGTGAGGGGGAGGCTGTGTGGGGGAGGCTGTGAGGGGGAGGCTGTGAGGGGGAGGCTGTGAGGGGGAGGCTGTGAGGGGGAGGCTGTGAGGGGGAGGCTGTGTGGGGGAGGCTGAGGTGCATGGTGCCAGAAAGAGACGGAGGGGAGGTACACGGGAAGCGAGCGGGATGAGGACACTGTCATCCGCGCTGTGTGCAGCCACCCACCCAGCTGCCTGCAGGCCAGCCGCACACCAGCGGCGATGTGATGACTCCTTGGTGTAGGGGGTCCATGGGCCTGCAGACAGACAGACAGACAGACAGACAGACTGGCTGGCTGGATAGATGCTGGGGGATGGGTGGGATGGATGGGTGGATGGATGGTGGTTACAACGGGGGATGCGATGTGCTGAGCGGTCACCCGCGCTACCTGCCTCTCTCACGGATCCCTCACCCCCACCCCACCCCACCCCCACCCCCAACCCGCACACCCGCCAGAAAATCAACTCGGAGCTTGACTGGGCTCGCAAGCTGTACAACTCGAACCCCGAGTGGCCCGTCATTGATGTGACGTTGCGAGGGATCGAGGAGACGGCGGCACGCATCCTTAAGATGCTCAACGACCGGCGAGGAGATGCCTCGCCCAAGTGGGTGGAGGCCTACCACGCCAAGCACCAGCAGCAGCAGCAGCACCAGCAGGGGGGGCCGCTGAGCCCGGGGGAGGGAGCGCCGTACAATATCCCAGAGATGATCTACGGCGCGCATGAGAGCAACTATTTGATGCAGGGACTGTACTGAAGAGTTGAGGTGGTGGGGAGCGCTCTCGAAATCTGAGCCGCGATACGAAACCGAAGGCCGAAGTGGGTGCACGAATAACACCGTACCGATGCGAGCTCCGTAGTCACCAGCGACGTGCAGTAAGGCTTTTCCAGGAAAACATTGTAGACATAGCTGCTTGAATCAAGATAATGTTTAACACAGAAGCCCGTGTGATAACGAGAGCTCGCTCTGTGTGCATATGTATGTATGTATGTGTGTGTGTCTTAATGACCTGCGTCGCGGAGGGCAGGAACTGGCGAGAGGGGATGGCACAGGAGTGACCCTTTACCGGAGGATGTAGGCACCTGAGAAATGTGCGTATGTATGTATGTATGTATGTATGTATATACGCATGCTTGTATGTATGTGCGTATGTAAGTTGTCGGTGGGGCGCGGCGGTCCTCGGAGGCGGCCAGAAACCCCTCCGGGAGGATGGGGCCTGAGAGACCTGCTGGGGGGTGTAAATGGCCTGATCGTGTGATCCGGGCGATGGGGGGAGAGGGCCGGTTGGGGCACCGGGAGGGGTCGTACCGCTGCTTTTTGTGTGCGTGCATCTGCGTGTGAACGTGGGGCTTATACTGAAACGCACAGAAAAAGTATGTATCTACGCATGTATGTATGTGCGAAGCTGTGTTAGCAGTGCATGTCGCAAGCAGGCGTGTAATATATGTGCGCACCATGGGTTGCTGCTGTTGATGGAGGAGAAGAGGCGCCGAGCAGGAGGGGCCCGGCCGATGGCGGGGTGTCGGGGCGGGGGGTTCGGCTTGCCCCCCCTCCGGGGGGGGAAGGGCAGGCGCCGCATAAGGGCTCAATAGCTCCCCATGCCAGGTGCATCATGCCGGACATACGGTGATTCATATTTACTGATTTTGATGATGATGACGACGATGTGGTGGTGGTGATGCTGGCGAGTCGAGCATGATATGTGTGTGCATTTGTATGTATGAATGTGTTTTTATACAAGCGCGCGTGTGTGTACTGCAGTATGGCACCGCGGGGCAACACAAGAGGGTACCCGGGATGTAGGGGGGGGTCTTTTGCGCGGGAAGCACCTCCTCGTTACGTGCGTGTGTGGGGGTTAAGTGCGGGGTTTTGGTGGTTGAGGATCTCCCCGCCTGGTGATGCCGTACATGCTTGGGGCGGGAAACAGTAGCGCCTCTGTGCTGCTGCTGCTGCTGCTGCTGAGCGGGAGACCGGAGGAGGCTGCGCTGCCGTCTCAACAGTCTGCACACGCAAGCTTTTCCTGTTAAGGCTTTTAACCTTCCTTCCTTCTTTCCGAGCCCTCCTACCGTTGTGAGTGGCGCCATGTATTAGGGGGAGACGCGACTTCTTCTCTTCGTCAGAGGAGAGGAGAAATAATAAAGAAGGGAAGCAACACGAGAGAGAGAGACGAGTTGTGAGGTCCGAGTGCGCCATGTGATGCAACCGCCGCGCGTTTGGCGGTAGGTGGGCCGTTGTTCCGTACCAGTGCATATGAGAGTTCGTTGAAGTACGGACTATGATATAATACAAAGTTCGAAATGGATGTACGATACTGCAAGCTGGGTATTGCTCTAGGGTGGCCGTGTGCAGAGTACTTGCTGGTCATGGCACATGAAATAGGCGGCTGGGGCCATTGTTCCGGGGTCGCCGCCCAGGAAATAGCCGGGGTCACCCCCCAGTGTGTGAGCCCACTGCACCCTGTCCAAAGCGCGACGGAGCACCGCAATTACCGCACCATACAGCGGTCTCAGTTCCTTGTATAATGGGGGGAGGGGGGTAGACTTGTATGTATGTATGTATGTATGTATGTATGTATGTATGTATGTATGTATTGCCTTGGCAACCGGAAGTGAATTCCCCAAGCTGCTCCCCCAGCTCGGCGACCGGGAGGTGGCTGCAGTAGTTGACCGGGCCGTGTAGCTGTGTAGTTGTTATCACTGGGGAGGGGCCGGGGTGCTGCTGCTGCTGCTGCTGCTGCTTACGGGTTTACAGCTGGTCAGCCGCCGCGTCATAAGGAAACCCAAATCAGCCCGTAGAGATCTACCCACACAGGCGGTAACACCGGGGGCCGCTGTTGAGCCCCGTGAGCCGCACCGCACAGCACCGCACCGCGCCTAGGAGGCCGCAATCTGCGGAAGTCCCCTCAACGAAACCCAGGGCGGCTGAAGCACCTGCAGGGGGCCACTTGGTGGCTTCACTGATTCTGACTCGGGTTGCCGCGGGAACAGGCGGTCGCACCGGTGTGGCCCTGTGGCCCTGCATCAGGAGTTGAGAGAAGTAGATGGGATGATGGCGCCAGGCGAAGCAATGTCTATTTGGGTAGTAATGCGGTGGTGGCAGGACCGCTGCCCGCGGTTGCTGGCTGTCAGGAGTCATGGCTGCCAAAAAATGATGCTCCTGCCGTAGGGAATGAACCATACCAGGTCTAACAGGGTTCAGCAACCCGAGGGATAATTTCGGCTGGACAGCAACTGAGTACTGTAGCCCGAGGCGGTTTCAGAGGAGGCAGATAGATCGCTCAATTGGTTTTTTCCCATGAAGAAAGTAGACAGTCACCCGCTGCTACATGGCATCCTAGACCTGCAAGTAGACGCCATCGCAAACCGCATCCCCGGAGTGTCTGTACACGCTAGGCTAAGCACGTGTTCACTAGACATGATCGGCAGCCGCCAAGAAACATTGGATATTATTAAAAGCAGAAGAAAGCATCTGGTCTTTGTGCAGGGCAAATGAATTCTCCTCCGACAACCTCCCAACCCTCCTACCGTCCAAGTTCGCATGGCAGGGTTTCCACTTAGGGATATGCACGAGGTTTATCCATTCAAGAATTGCATTTATCTGCTATAAGCTTCAGAACAAGTTTCATGTCATGTCACTACGTGGATACATCAGAATGTCGGAAGTTCCTGTTAGGCGGGTTTGCTACAAAACAGTGGCAATGGATATAGGCTGTAATCATAGACCAAGGGCATGGTTTAATTTTACGTCATATAAGGTCCATACCGAGTCGCTGTCGCAAAGGCGGGAACCCTTCGTCACTGACACGACGCCTCCGGTTGCAGTTCATTACGGATTATATGAACACCTGGAAGAGACTCGTGTATAACTATATCCTCTTGAGTGCCAGAGATGGGCACATGACAAATTCCGCAGTCGCGGGCGGGAGGCCCATCATTTCCATTTGTATGCCGAGCTATAGTGCAATCACTTCAGCCGTAAACTTGTTAAACTACCATCCATTAATAAAGTTACCAAGCACATAGTAATTACGCATTGGCCCGACATTCAGCGCTCACAGCAAGAGGGCCCGTTCGCGCAGCACGCAAGTTGTCAACACGAGGCAGAGAAAGGGAGCCTTTCTCAGCTTGTGGATCTATATTGCGTCGCCAACAAACGGTGAGTCCCATCCCGGCTCGACCGACTGCGTCGTTGAGCTCACGACCGTTCGGTCGTCTTGAGGCGTCCGAAAGGCGAGCCTTTGCCTCGGCTTTCACTGCGTTGACCGGCCTCGATTGAGCCTTTCGAATCTGTATGCTTGAGGAACAGTCAGTCGACAGCCTTTGCCTTCTCTCAGCTGGGCGTTCGCCGCGAGCGACAGCACCCAGCGCAGTCCCATGCGACTGGCCTAGCAAGGCCTTTGGCGTTATGCTATGGTGGCTACGTACCATTTTGCACTGGCGCGCTCGACTCCGGGCCGCCACGTCGCTCACGGAGCATCTTGCCTTCTCGGGACGACGTTGCCTTGCTGGAACAAGCCAGTTTACACCTAGGAAGGCTCGATCTTTTTAACGCATATCATTCTACTGTCATGATGGAGGTCGAGCTCCTTCGGCGTCCCGGTTGGCCTGCCCGCAGGAGCATCACGAGCGGTGACCAGCAAATTGAGCACGCTACGGACTCGGCGCTTTGCAAGGCCTGCAGGGCCGTGCAGGCTCGATCACCTCTTGAACCCGATTCTCGGTAAGCCACGCTCTGGTGTTTGGGTTTGGGCGCGCGATGCCTCGGCGCGGTTGCGCGGCATACTGCGCGCGTTTCTTCCAGATTTACGAGCTTTGTGAACGAATCTTGAATTGTTTTTCCGTGAGCTCCGTAGCTTCTGGACCATCATCTTTGTTAGCAACACCTTCGCAGTATGGCCCATCCTCGCGCACGTCGAACGCCTCGTGAACGAGCGGATCGCCTTGCAGCGCGACGATGTTTAAAGGCGACAGGTCTTCCGTGTAAAATGCACCGCTCGCGCTTGCATCGAAGTCAACGGCAGTCGTCCGTCGCCCGTCATGTCATCATTTGTCCTTCTCTCTTTCATCCACAGCACATGAGCTCGTACGGCGGAAATCCATATCCTGGAAGAGGAAATATGAACGGGGGCGGTGGCCAACGCGGCACCTACGGCTCCGGCCCCCCATCTGGTCTCCGGACAACTGGCGCGGGCCGCAAGACGACCGCGGCGTTTTGCACCAGCTGCGAGACCAAGCTCAGTCCAGATGAAATGCTGATGGCCAACCAGACTGAGGGGCGATGTGTGGCCTGTCAGCAGCTCGTAGAGGTGGGTGGGTTGGGCCGCCTCGTACGGCGGATTGGGCTGCTTTGGCTTTCGGCGGGGAGTTATACACGCATGAGTATTCCAGTACTATCCGGTCCCCTTACCGGTAAGCCTCGCACCGCAGCTCCTGGCCCCCTAACCTCCTTTTCCCTACCTCCCCTCCCCGGGGGGCCCCTCAGGCCCAGTCCGCCTGCCGCGTGTGTCATCTCCCCTGGAGTAGCAACACCCAGTGTGTGGTGGCGTGTGACGGGTGCGGGTTTTATATGCACGACAGCTGCGTGAAGAAGGGAGCCCTGCAAAATAAGGTGTGTGTGCTGGTGGAGGGGGGGAAAGGGATGTGGCGTTCTCCTACGCGAGGAGGACGCCCCGGGGGCAAAAGCGAACGTGGAGCGTCCGCGCGGGGTGAAAGGGTTGTGTGTATATGTGTATGATGCGAAGAAAGGACCACCCGACCAGCGCTGTCTCGCCCCACGGAAAAGATCAATACACACACGGGGCTTCGCTCTAGTACCCTTTTTGCCTTTCCAAGACGCGCAACACGGCTAGGTACCCCCTTCGCCCTGCACCGCTTTGTACCCCGCTGTATGCCGATTGAATAAGAACAGCTAGCCTTTGTCTAGGGAAGTATTCCATAACTGTTACTCCCCTGCCATGCCACGTTGCGCCTGCTGTCCCCTGCCGCGACATGCCGCCAGTCTGGCGCCCGAGTGTACACCTACTGCCCGCACTGCCCGCCGGCGCTTCCACCGCCAACCGCCGCCGCCATCCCAGCTCAAGCTGGCGGGGCCGCCGCCTCCAAAGCAGCCGCTGCCGCCGAACGCAGCAGCCGCCAAAACGCCCTTGGCCCCCTCCCCATCAGCGTTTCGTCATCAAGGGCTGCTTCGGTCGGCGCCGGCGGAGGTAGATCGCCGCCGGGGGGCGCCCGGGGGCCCATCGCCGCCGTGAACGGTGGCGGCGGCGGCGGCGGCATATCGATCGCCGCGCTGGCGGCGGCGATGCCGCAGCCGGCGCACGCTGCGGCGATGCAGCAGGTCGCTGCGCTGCTCCAGGGGCAGCTGCGGATGCTGCAGACGCAGCAGCATGCCTTATTACGGCAGTACGACCAACAGCTTCGTGCAGTGACGCCGCTGCCGCCGCCGACGGCGTACTCGTTATTCCAGCTGGATATGTTCCGGGTTTACCAGGAGGAGGGCTTCGATATCGATCCCTTGGAGCTCCAACCCATCATTAACAACGCTTGGCTGCAGCTAACTCCGGACGAGCGTGCTGGGTACGACGCTCGTGCAGGACAGGAAATGGCGATGTGGACGAGCAGCGCGCAGCTCTACGTTCAGCTTTATCACGAGTATGAGACGTTGGCGGGCCATGTGGGGTCCGTTCCCGACACCGGTCTCCTGCCCAAATCGTTGCAGTCCATGTTGCAGTCTGTACGGCAAATGGCCCGGCTTGGCGGCGGCGGTGGCGCTGCGGCGGCGCCGTCGGGACCTGGGTCGGGAAGAGGTCCTGGGCGTCCACCGGGGGCAGCCTCGGGGGCTGCAGGCGCGGCAGCTGCGGCGGCAGCAGCAGGCCGCGGCGGCACCGGAGCCGCCACCGGCGGCGGCGGCAGCGGCAGCGGCAGCGGTGGCCGCGGCACGAAGCGTTCCACCCTGGACACCCTGGCTGGAGCTACAGCGCTGATGGGGATGAACCTTGGACCCGCGGGTCGAGGCGGGGCAGCAGTAGCAGCAGCAGCAGCAGCAGCAGGTGTGGATGATGACGACGACGACGACGAGGACTACGAGGCGGAGGGGGCGCAGCATGGTAGCGCCAAAAGGGCTCGGAGGGCCATTTCGCCGGCGACTGCGGCGGCGGCGCCGTCATCATCCCGTCCGCCGCCACGTAACACCCGGCTCCCTGCAGACCAGCTCCCCACTGGCATTCAGGACTTACCCGCGCAGGTGGGAAGGGGGGAGAGGGTTTGGACACTTGGAGAGCCGCACCGCTGTCGTCAGTGGTTTGTACTTCTGTACTTCTGTCCGTGGGGCCCTTGAAGCAGTACATCGTCCGGGTGGCGGAAAATAAATTGAATCTGTATGTATGTGTGTATGTATTTATGTATATATGTCCTCCAGATCAACTGTCAGTGTTGCCGTGACTCACCTGTGCCTACCGGCCAGTTGCGGTCGCTCCCTGTGCGGCCATTTCTCCTCATTGCGTTTCAGCTTCCCCCCATTGACGTCAACTCGCCTGCCCAAATCCCCGGTCCCTTGCCATTGCATCCCCTTTCGTACGACACGCGGCCGTACCGTGTACGACAATAGCTCAACGTGTCGTGCAATGACGTTGCCGGTACGTTCATCATGGGCGGCATCAAGGTCCTGTGCCAGTGCAAGGACTGTCGTGAGCTGCCCAGGTCGCAGCGCGAGTTCCACCCCACGCATTGGGAACAGCACTGCGGCGCAGGGACGGCCAAGAAGTGGAAGGCGTCGGTAAAGATTGAGCCGGGTGGTGCGCCCGAGGTGCCGCCGGGCGGTAACCCCATGCAGATCGGCAAGTGGTTCGACATGCTGGGGGTGGAGTTCCGCCCCGCCAAGACTACAGGTGGGTTGGGGTGGGGGGTTTGGGGGGTGAGTTTGCGAGGTGCCGCTGTTCGTAAGGTGGTGTGAAGAACCGACAACTGCCAAACGACCAACTGCCGGAGATGTCAGTATGTATCCCGTTACTGACAATGACAATGACACGCAGCTGCTTTCCCCCACCTCGCCCATACAAGTACTACTGCTGCTGCTACTGCTGTTGCCCTTGTTTCTTCAGGCGGTCCCCCGGTGTTGGAGTTCACGGGGGCCACCATTCGGCGACTGGAGGCGGAGGGGACCGCGGCGGTGGCAGCTGGGGGAGGGGGAGGGGGCGGGGGAGCAGCACCGCCAGCAGCAGGAGGAGGCGGGAGCGGAAGCGGCGGAGGCTCGCAGCCGCAGCTGCCGCAGTCACAACAACAGCATTCGCAGCAGCAAGTTCAGCCGCAACCCCGGTCGCCGTCGCGATCAGTGCCGTCACCGTCGTCTCAGCCGCCGCCACAGCAGCAGCAGCAGCAAGGTACGGCGCAACAGCTGCCGGCACGACCTGCTCGCGTGGCTCAACAGCCCGGTCAACAGCTTCGAGGCGCTGGCGGCAGCACTGGCAGACGCGGCGCCGCCATCGGCGGCGACGATGCCGTCTTTGGCGCCGGCGCCAATGCTGCACCCGCCGCTGCCGCTGCCGCCGCCGGCACCTCCGCGAAACCCCCCCGTCCTGTGAGTGAGGGTGATGGGGATGGGGACGGAGGCGCAGGGTATTGCCTGGAAGGCAGTACGGCAGTTGCGGCACACCCCCGCGGGGGCTGCGGCCGCGACGGCGGGGAGGACGGTGAGAGTAGCAGCCGGGGGAGCGCCTCTGACACGCTGGGGCCCAACGCCACCGCTTAACTAACCGTTAACCAACCGCAACCAACCAACCGATGAAGCCGGCCGCCTCCTCAACCGTCTGTTGCACCGACCGCTGCTGTGCCCGGAGTGCCGTACTGCTGCTGTTGTTGATTGCTGCCGTTGGGAGGTGAGGGTGACGTGGGGTGGCATTTGTGTTTCGTCGTACTGCGGAGTACAGCCTTTTCAACCGTCTGGGTCGGCGCGGTGAGAGGCCAGTGCTCTATGTGTGTGTGCGTATGTGTGTGTTTCTGAAGATCTTGCAAACGAACGGCAGGAAAAGCAGTTGCCATTGCCACACATGCATATGCCTGTATGGGCCTTTAGGATCGTCCGTTGTTATCGGCCGTGGAGGTGGTGTTCATTGCGCTGTTTTAGTTGTATTTGGCTATATATATGTATGTATGTATGCACATGACATGTCTGCTTTCCTTGTGAGGGGGGGGGAAAGGAAAGGAAAGGGGTATATACACACCCGCGCTGGTGTGTCGTGCAAACCCTGGCAGGCGTTGTTGACGGCAGGTTGCTGCTTCTCATTGGTCGTTTTGGTGTTCTAGATGGGTGTGGGTGTGTGGGGGGGGGGGGAAAGAGGGGGGCTTCTGGCACGGGAGGATTTGGCTCAGCAGCCGGCTAGGCAGAGGGGGCTCTCCATGTGGACGTCTTGTTACTGGGATCTACATACTTACATACATACGTACGTACATAGCATGCCAGAATGAGGAGGATGAGAAGGAGGTGCTGCGAAGGAAGGCCCCTGCCTGGAGTTGGCTGAAAACCAAGATAGTAGATTTGGGTGGGTGGGTGTGGTGGGTGGGTGGAGGACGGCAGAAAACCGCATTGTGCGCGTTCGTGTTGCGGTGCGGTGTGGTGGGGCGTGTGGGTGCGTGTGTGTCAGGCGGCAGCAGGCAGGGCGGCGGCGGCAGGCAGGGCGGCGGCGGCGGCGGCGCAGCAGGCGGTTGAGGTTGGCGGTTGAGGTTGGCGGTGGTGGTGTTTTTGGTGGTGGCCCCCGGCGGAATCAGAGGGGAGGTGGAGGAGGTGCTCCTCCGGCTGCTGCTGCTCCTGCTGCTGCTGCTGCTGCAGCGCCGCCGATAGCCCCTTTAATAGCAATATCAATATTGTTATTATTAACATGTTATTACTTCACTCGGCTGGTCGGTAGGTCGGTCGGTCCACCGGTCTTGGGAAGTCTGAAAGCAACCGGGCCCTCAGTACTGGGGTGTCTTGTCTACATCATGAATGTGTATGTGTATATGTATCTTTGCGTATATGTATGTATGTATGTATGTATACTTCTTGCAGAGGTTAGGTCCCGCCCGCTCTTCCTAGCGTGTGCGCCTCCGCACACCCTCCGTGTGTTGGGCCCCGCCCCGCCCCGCCCCCGGCCCTCTCTCTGTCGCTTGTGTGGCTCTTCTGTGCGTGGCCTCTTCGGATTGCGATATTTCGGGTTGCCGCCGGCCCCGCCCCCGCCTGCGCCCTTTCCTTAGCTGCCGCCCTGCTCCGGCCCGCACCGCCCCGCGCCACCATGCGCTGCCGCTGAAGCGCGTTGCACACCTTAATGGCCGTCTCCGTCTGATGGTCCTTAGAGACGGCCCTTATAGCACATCCGTATTTCTGCTGCCGCGAATACGGCATATAGCTGCTGCTACTGCTGCTGTTGTAATACTAAGAAATACATTCTACATATCTACACATAAAACAAATGTAATGAATATAAAGCGTAGTAGGACTTGGCCCGGCTGTACTACTGCTGTGTTGTATGTATGTACACAACGACGGCACAACAGTGGGTTTGAAAGTGTTGTTTGGGGGTGCAGGAGGCATTACAGAGTCACTTGAGGGAGGGACGGTTTGTGTGTGTGGGGGGGGGCTGGTGATGGGGATACTGCTCCCGCTCCCTTTGAAAATGTACGCCATCTCGCGTCTTGCGGCCGCGGTGGAGCAGAGGAAGAGGGGGATGGAAAGGAGAAGAAGACCTGCTAGGGCGGGGGGGAGAGGGGGGAGACACAAGTTGGGACTGGGGAGCACATACACACACACGGGGGGGGGCTGTGTCGGTAATCAGCGTACCCGCTAGAGGGGCGGAGGGGTGCCGGGGAGACTGGCTATCCAGCAGTTACCTGTGTGTGAAGGTGTTTGTATGCATGTATGTATGCGTGTTTGTGTGTCTGCTTGTATATGCTCACATCCCTACCGCGGCCTGTCCGCAAATGCACCCACATTTTTTGTGACAATGCGCGTCGAGCTGAGGTTTGCTGGTTCTGTTTCATTTTGTTATCATTTCATTCTGGGGTTTCTTTCTGTCTTATTTGTTTTGGTTCTTGGGCGGCATGCGATGGGGAATGAAGGAAGCCATTCATGTGTTGCTCGACGCGTCTCCTGTGTCGCCGCGCCAAGTCTGCAGAAGGGAAAGAAGCGCTCTGCTCCGCGAGCAGAGCACATTCTTTTCCTGCTGCCGGCGGTGGCGCTGCGGGAGCTGTGGTGGGTGAGAAAATTTCACAGAAGTTCTGTCGCGCTCTGTTGGCGCCGCCGGTCGCAGGAGGTTGTTGTGGGAATATGAAACAGCAAAGACACATGCCCCCTGCCTCCACGGCTTTCCTGGCACCATGAAGCCCTCGTCGTCCGCAAGCATACACACGTACATACACTCGACCACCGAAATGTGTATTGAGGGAGGCAACCCCCACTGAGTCTTATGTCGCTGCGGCGTGCGCAACGTTTCACCGATATCATCATCATCAGCAGCAGCAGCAGCAGCAGCAACAGACTGCGTATCGGGTTCCACGTGGCTCAGCAGCAGCTGGGTGGCGGTGCGTGTGTGTATGCCGGGCCCTGCCCTTGGACGTCGGTAGTTGTTTCCAGTTGACTTCTCCACTAGGGGGGGGAGAGGGGGGCCCCCGCAGAGGAGACGTCCAGGGTGTGGTTCCCTTCTCCCCCACTCCCCTCCTCCCTCTGGCAGCCCAGAGCGTGTGTGTATCGGCTGAGTTGGGCTGCAGCCCCTGTCCCGGCCTTGCCCTTGCCTACCGCCCTGCCGCGTCATCTGTGAGGGGACGGGAGAGGGGAGGCCGTACTCCCTGCCCGGTGCCATGATCACCTGCCTGCCCGGTAGTCCTAGGGGTGTTGCTCCCCTTGTGTCCTTGGGTGCTCTGCCTTTCGCGCCCCTCTTGGGCTGTCCCAGTTTTAGACAGCGAGACAATCGGTCCATGAGCTGCTCTGGCGGCGGGTGCGGGCACTCCACTACATGTGCAAGCACCAGGCCACTCGCCCTCCGGTACGGCAGTGGAGGTGGCGGCGACGAAAATGGAGGGGATGACTCCCTAGGTGACATTATTGGGCTGTTAAGCAGTGATAGAGGGGAGGGAAGGGAAGTATCTTCCAGAAGGTGGTCACCTCCAGAATCTATGACCGGCGGGTCCCTGTTGGTGCCCTGATCCCTACCCGCCGCACGGCGCCCCGCCCAGTACCCGTCAGTAAAGCCTTTGGAATGGCAGGAGAGTGGTCATGGAGGAGCTGGGCGCTGGTTTTGATTGGGTTGATGGATGCTCTTTTCCCCCTCTCTTTTTAGCCTGTTAGGTAGGGCTTTTAGACCTGAGCGGTGAGCCGGGGTGAGGGGTGGGGGCTGATCGCCGCCGCTGTCGCCGCCGCCTCGGGCTGCTGCAACCCGTTAGGTTAGCGGCGCAAAGCGAACCAAAGCAGCCGCCGACCGGCAGTAGACTGACCGGTCTTAAATGGCTGCCAGAGGATACGACCGCGGGCTAACGCGAGTGGTGACGTAATCACTACGCTGTACCCCCTGGGGCGGCCGGGGGTCACCCCCAAGGGGGGGTTGAGAGCCCTGATCAGCAGGATCACAGAACAGGTGGAAGAGCCGTTGGGGGGTTGGGCGGCCGCCTGCATGGGGCTGGAACATACGTACGGGTATATACGTACGGGTATACACGTACGGGTATATACGTACGGGTATATACGCAGAGCGTTCACTCTTATATACACATGGTGACATGGGTTAGATATCCTTGCGAAGGCCACCACCACCACTGGACGTGTTCAGCTCGTATCTCCGCTTGCGACGGACAGACGGTCACGGCCGCCCCGCAGTGCCCCGCCCCTCCACGCACATACACAAGCAGACGCACAGTCGCAGCATGATGGCTCACAGCAGCGGCAGCCAGCAGTGCAGCAAAGCAGCGCCTAGGTCCTCCGGGTGTTACAGCTCGGGGCGCACCGCCGCCTCTACCCCCCAAGCACACACGACCAATGGGTTGGGATCCCCCTGGCCCTCAACCCCATCCCCCGCCCACCCACCGACCCAACCCCGGGTTCTCAGTCAGTCGAGTGAAGCAGATCTGCGAACGTATATACATATATACATACATACATACATACATGCAGGCAGGCGGCTGGCAGAGGTTAAGGCCTGACTTCTGCTCCCAGTTGACCCAGTCGACCCGGGTTCAAATCCGCCTGCCGGCTCCTCGGGTGTTTGAGGAGTGATGAAATGGGAGGTGGCCCCCCATCTTATGGACGGTGTAGGACGTGATAATATCAACTTGCGAGCTGACCAGGAACTAAGTTGATGCGCCGTTGATCCGCTAGATTTGGTTGGATGCTGGTGGTGAGTTGCCGAACTCAACGAATACATTCTGAAGTCGGATGGGGTGACGGATTAGGGTGCCCCTCTAGCAGGGGAGAGCAGGGACTGCCCCGGGAAAGGGGGCCGCTGGCGAAGTTAACCACCCTGTAACAACATACATGCGCTCAACTGCCTCGCACCAGGGGCCTCCCAACCACCCGTCTATCCGGGGCTGATCCCCACCACCCTCCCCCTTCGTAAATCCCCTACCCCTCCCCTCCTTCCCAAACCCCTGCGGTCCCAAACTGGAAACACGACACCCGAACAGCCCCCACCGTCACATATTGCCAATGCTCTCAGCACCACCCACCCGCCACCACTGCCTCCAAGGCCCCTTTGCTTCATGGCCCACCAGCACCGCCCCTACATGCACGGGGCCCTCCGCAACGCGCTCGACTGCCAGAACACCAGTCACAGCCCGGGGCAGGCCCCTCCCCTCCCCTTGAGCGCCCGTGACCCTCTCACACACACACACCCTCCGCGACATTAGTGGCTGCTCAACCAATAATGAAGCATAGGTCTGATGTAACCGAACCAACTGATAACCCCCAACCGCCTTTTCCTTTCCCCCCTACTAAGTGCCAAATTGTTCGCTACCCGCCCCTTACATGCCGCACATGGCCGTACACACACACACAAAAAAAATAATACACACAGCCCGCCTCAGCTGAGCCCTGGCTAGATGTACTGCAGCCCCATCGGCTGTACGAGCCCGTACGGGTCAAGTGGGCCGGGGACCGCTGCTGCTGCTGCGACAGCGATTTGGACTACGACACGGACCGACTCGTGTCGTGCGACTGCTGCGGTATCACCGTACATCAGACCTGCTACGGCATCAGGGATGCGCCGGGTAATGGGGGTGATGGGCGGGGGATTGGAAGGGGGAGGGGGGCAGCCGAGTGTGTGTGGGTTTTGCTGGCGGGTTAGGGGTGCGGTTGGCCTCCCCATCTGCCCTGGTGGTATTGTTTGGGGAGATTGTCCATGTACGGCCGATAGCTGGTTTTAAACCCTCCCGGACGGTTATGTGCGGTTGTTATTGCTGTTGGATATGGTGGGGGTGATAGTTGTGGCGGTGCTTGCTTTCGTGAACTTTCGCCTCCTCCTCCTCCTCCTCCTCCTCCTCCCGTGAAACGCGACCTCCACCTCCTGCCCCGCCTCTCCCGGCCCTACCTGACCTACCCACCCTGCGCTGCAGGTCTGGATGACTTGTGGTTGTGTCGGTCCTGTGAGCAGCAGCATCAGCCCGGTGCACCCCCGCCGCAGTGCTGTCTGTGCCCCATAGCTGGGGGGCCCCTCAAGCCCACCACCCTGCCCGGGCTGTGGGTGCATGTGACGTGTATGCACTGGATTGCGGAGGTCACGTGCAGAAACCCAGCACGGTGTGTTTTGAAGGGTGGGGTGGGGGGATGGGGGTGGGAGGGTCAGCGTGAGGGGGTGAGGGGGGAAATAGGGGGAGGTGCGGGGAGGGGAAGGGGAAGGAGCGCAGTGCCCGGCGGGTGCGGGGCTTGGGTGTGTGTTGGGGCCAGATGGCGTATGTCCTTCCCCGGCGCTATGTCCCAGCTGTCTGATGATGACCCTCTGTCCCGCGGCGGGTGCTGTGTAGGCACACACCGGTGACCCCGGTGACACCGGCCTGGCCTGGCCTGGCCTGGGTTTGTCTTATGTCGTGTGTCTTATGTCTCCTTCTCTCTCCCTCTCCCTCTCCCTCTCTCTCTCTGTCTACCGCCCGCAATAACTCCAACGTCCAACAAGCCCCTCAAAACACTCCTGTTCCCCGTACCGTACTGTACTGCACTGTACCGCTTTTTTTACTGTTTTCGTTTCCGTAGGCCCCCTGCTGAAACCTCCCAATTCAATACAAACACACACAGACAGACACAAATACACGATGGCACGTTTCCCTTCCTACATGCAAAACCGGACTCTGAGAACCCCCCTATCCTGTCCCCTCCCAAACCAAAACACACACGTACACACGTACACACATGCACACACGTGGCACGCGCAGCATGGAGCCCGCTGACAACATCCCGGGCATCCAGCGGGAGCGGTGGGAGCTGCTGTGTTGCATCTGCCGGCAGCGAATGGGCGCCAAGCTTCAGTGCAAGGACTGCTACCAGGCCTTCCACCCGCTGTGCGGCCGCATGGCGGGGCTGCACATGGAGATGGTGACGACAGCTGCTGCTGCTGCTGCTGCTGGGGGGGGAGGGGGAGGGGTAGCAGCAGCAGCAGCAGGAGGAGGGGGTGGATGGGCGGGAGGAGGAGGGGGAGGGGGAGGGGGGCCGGCGCGGGAGCTGCGGATAGTGAGCTCGTGTCCCAAACATGGCAAGCTGCAGGCCAAGATGCTGGGTAGGTTTGGGTTTGGGTTTGGGTTTGGGGAGGTGGGGGGAGTTGGGGGGGAGGGGAAGGGATATGTCCCAGAGCGGTTAGAGGGCCGGGATGTATGTGTGTGTTCCAGGTGCGGCCGCCGTATTGAGGCGCATTGTTGGGCCGTCCTCTAAAAGGGGACGTTGGGGACATGGAAGGGGGCGTGCAGGCTTCAGGATGAGGAGGAGGAGGAGAAAAAGGGGATTGGCAGCGCGTTTTAGAGGCCTTACGCTTCCGTAAAGGCTGGTTTCCCTAAAGTTTTAGGCGCACACATACATACACGCATACACAGATGGTCTGCGGCTTTTGCCTGAACGCAATCTCCACTTTCTCCTCCCCCCAATCCCCTCGCCACCCGGCATCGTGCAGCTACTTCAAAGTACGTCGGTATGTCAGTGTGTTTGCAAGTCTGTACGTCTGCATGTCTACCTTCCACTGGGATCCCAGCAAACGCTGTACAGCCGTACAAATTCGTATTAACCTTCAAGGTGCATTGGTCCCCTGCTCTCCCTCCTCCTCCACCCCCTTGTACGATATACATACATTCCCCATGGCCCCAGTTCCCCCCCGCTCTCAAACCCCCGGACGCCACCGCGAGATGCGTGGTGGTGTGTCGGCAGGTGGCGATGTGAGTCCGTGATGTGCCCTAAGTTCGAATTATTCGGATCTTGCAGCTGTACATCCACTCCCCATCCCCCCAACCCCCGACCTGCCCTGCTTCGCTCGTCCGCAGCCGTACGGCGGCTTCACGACTCGGAGCGGCCCACCGCCAACGGCGCCGACGGCTCCCTCAACGGGTTGTGGAACGCGCAGCCGTACAGGCCCTGGCCTGCCGTACCCCTGCCGCAGGTCCCCAGCGGATGTGCCCGGGCGGAGCCCCTGGAGCCCCTGGAGAGGGTATCCCACGGAACCGGTGTGTGTGTGTGGGGGGGGGAAGAGAGAGTGTACGGGGGGAGAAACGTATGTGTGTGTGTGTTTTGTACGACCAGCCATTCCCTTTGCCCCGCTTCGTGAGCTGCAAGCACGTGCTGCTGTTCTGCCCGTCCCGCCTTTGGTTTTGTTAATATGGCATGTATGTATGTATGTACGAATGTAAAGAGCAATGAGACACACACACACACAGACTTGCACGACATAAATGCCTGCACCCGCGAGCAGGTAGCGGCTACACCACCGTTAAGGGCTTCTGGATACCGGACAAACCATCCGCTCAACCGCCAACCGCAACTGGAACTGAAACGGGGGATCATACAACCGTACGGGGGGAATCTTCGGAGCAGCCGACAACGTCCGGGAGCTGCCTGCCCGGCGGCGGCGGCGGCCGGGGGGGGGGAGGCCGGGGACGCGGCCGGGGACGCGGACGCGGCCGCGGAGCCGCCGTCAGCAAAGCCGAGAAGGCCGCCGTCGCGGTTGCCGCCGCCGTTCCCGCCGCTTCACCTCCGGCCCCCCCTCCCCCTCCCCCTTCCCCCCTCCCTCCGGCGGCTCCTGTTTCGGCCCCCGCCGGCCCCGTTGACCTGCTCCCCCTCCCCGGGGGTTTGCCGGAGGAGCTGCCCGTGGCGTGTTGCGGGCGGAGGGGGGTGCTGCTGCTGCGCACCCAGCAGGTGCTGTACGACGGAGTGAAGATGCCGGCGGCCAACTTCGAGAAGATGTGCGGCCGGGGCGACACGCGGAAGTGGAAGTCCAGCTTGTGGTGAGGGAGGGCGGGGGGGGAAGTAACAGTCCATGGTTGGCGGTTGGGATTTGGCGGTTGGGGTGGTTAACATGCAGCTGGAAGGCAGAGGGCAAGGATGTTCGGAGCGAGGAGCAGATATCGGCAAACGGGGGATATTTCTGGTTTCGGGAACGGGTCTATTTCTGTCTTCCAGTACATTTTCTGTTACAAGGCCGCGGAATGAAAATGCGTTTTTTGCAATAGTTTGACATTCGTATACGGCGTACGATCCTATTTCCGCACTGCAAGCCGGCCGGCTTCGAGAACTCTATTTCTGTTTTTGGTAGTTTCGGTACCCGGTAGTCGAACCTCCGGAAGCGTTTGCCGATGTCTGGCGAGGAGGTGCTGGTGCTAGTGATAGTGGTAGTGGTAATGTTGTACGACACGGCTGCGTGTCGCCCCAATACCCCGACAACAACTTAGCCAACCTCGCCAACCCTCCCCCGGAAACAAATACATACACACGCACGTACATACATACATACAGGGTTTTGGACGAGAGCGGCGGCCCCCTGTGCCAGGTGGGGGAGCTGCTCGCCCGCCGGAAGGTGGACCGAAACACACTGACACGGCTCATGGCCAATGCGGTCCAGCACGAGGCCTTCATGGAATGGCAGCAGCAGCAGCAGCAGCAGCAGGTGCCGCCGCCGCTACTGCCGGCGGAGCACTCGGAGCGGCGGTGGGATTCCGAGTCCGGGGCCGCTGCCGCTGCCGCTGACGTGGCCTCGGTGGCGGCGGAGGCAGTTGGCGGCCAGGGTGACGTCGTCATGGCAGACGCATCTAGAGGCGGGCGGGGAGGGGGAGAAGGAGGGGGAGCTGGCGGCGCGGCTTCTGACGACGGCAAGGGAGCGGAGGGGGGTTTCGGAGCGGAGCCGGGGACAGCAACCGCGACGGCGGCGGCGGTGGGTGACAGAGATGTGATGGATTCAACGACGGCGCCGAGGGCATCGCCGCAGGCCATTACGGCGGCGGACGACAGGACAGACGCACAGCCGATGGTTGACGCCGGCAGCGGGGACAGCGGCTCCCGTGAAGTCACTCCTATGCCGTACGCCGCAGCGCTGCCGTCGCGACCTGCTGACGTAAGTGGGGGACCCGACGGCGGCGGCGGTGTCACTGACATCGGGTCGACGCCCACTCCGT